CTCTTTGATCTTTTCATTTACAAACAATTTTTGTTTTTGTTTTTTTTTTTAATCCTTTGCTCTGTTTCGTAACTATGATGTCTAAGAACGTTCTAGTAACCGGTGGTGCTGGATACATCGGTAGTCACACGGTTCTTCAACTTCTTCTCGGTGGTTACTCCGTCGTAGTTGTTGATAATCTCGATAATTCCTCCGCCGTCTCCCTTGAACGTGTGAAGAAACTCGCCGCTGAACACGGCGAACGCCTCTCCTTCCACCAGGTTTGGTGAAATTTTGCTTTCTAGGTCTACGAAACGTGTGATTTAAGGATTTGTGTTTTGTCTTGTTGATGATTTCAACGAAATTGGGATTATGATTTGACTTGTTAATCATTGATTTGACTGCGAGGGCTCTTCTTGTGAATTTTGTTTTTTTGGGGATTAAATTCAGGAATAAAATATCAATTTTCCAAAATGATTGTTAATTTGATTCCAAAATTTTGGTTTTTTTTTTTGTGTTTGGTATTATTATTGCTTTGATTGGTAACTACGGTACGGCGTATACCGTTTTTACCAATCATAAAAACGATACCAAAAACATTATTTTTCAATTTTTTATACTACTTTTTATCTTTATTTTGTACCGTTTTTAACTATTCAAGTATCACTTATTGCTTCATATCCTCCAAACAAGATTAATTTTTTTTTTATCTCTCTAGTTTTATATCCCAAAATAATAATTTATGTATTAAATATTAGTTTAAGCCTCATGAAGACCATGTGAAAGAGTAAATTAATTAATATTGTCCCAATTTCTATTTTTATATTTCATAGTAAGTTTAATCTTGTTCTGAATTTAGATGGTTTTGTGTTTAGTTACTGTCAAAAGAATCTGTTAGTTACTGTTAAAAGTTAAAACTTGATTGCTTTGTCTTAATTTGCAGGTGGATCTTCGAGACAAGCCAGCTCTTGAGAAGATATTCTCAGAAACTAAGTATGATTGAGGAAAAAACAAAAATCTTTTAGCTTTTTCACTTTATCACTAACAATGATCTTTTAGTGTATAATTGGGTTTATTGATTGATGAACGTGGAATTATTATTATTTTACAGGTTTGATGCAGTGATACATTTTGCTGGACTTAAAGCAGTTGGTGAGAGTGTAGAGAAGCCTTTGCTCTATTATAATAACAATCTTGTTGGTACTATTACTCTTTTGGAAGTTATGGCTCAACATGGCTGCAAAAATGTATGTAATTTGCCACTACACAACAAGTTCGTATTCATTATTATTCTTTGTTCGATCGATCTCATGATTAGCTACTCTGTTTCCAGCTTGTGTTTTCATCATCAGCCACTGTGTATGGCTCTCCAAAGGAAGTTCCTTGTACTGAGGAGTTTCCTATTTCGGCATTGAACCCATATGGACGAACAAAGGTTGGTTTTTTTTGACGAAACCCACTTGAGTTTTGTTGTTGATGTAGTGTGAATGAGATTTTTATGGATGTTTTTGTAGCTATTCATTGAGGAAATCTGCCGTGATGTATACGGTTCTGACCCGGAATGGAAGATCATATTGCTTAGGTATTTCAATCCTGTTGGTGCACATCCTAGTGGTGAAATTGGTGAAGATCCTCGCGGTGTTCCCAACAATCTTATGCCTTTTGTACAACAAGTCGCTGTTGGTAGGAGACCTCATCTAACTGTCTTTGGAAATGATTACAATACAAAAGATGGAACAGGGGTATGTGTGTATGTTTATCTTTTATGTTTTCATAAACAAGAAGAGGTTTGTTTCAACATGTTGATCTCGTTTTTGTGTTTTTTTTTTGTTTCAGGTTCGAGATTACATTCATGTTATTGATTTAGCTGATGGACACATAGCGGCTTTGCGTAAGCTAGAAGATTGCAAAATCGGTATGTATGATTCCGCTTATACTCTTTTGTCTCTCTTCTACTATAGAATCATCCTTAAATCTCTAAACTTGGTTTGTGTGTTGTTGTATTCAGGTTGTGAAGTGTACAATCTCGGAACAGGAAATGGAACATCGGTTCTTGAAATGGTTGATGCCTTTGAAAAAGCGTCTGGGAAGGTAAAAGAACATAGCACTTTCTTTAGAATCTGAAACCTTATTGTAATCTTAGATTCTTGGACATGTTTTGTTGAACCTTTGAACTCTGTTATGGATCAGAAAATCCCTCTGGTGATCGCTGGACGTCGCCCGGGAGACGCTGAAGTTGTTTACGCCTCAACGGAAAGAGCAGAAAGTGAATTGAATTGGAAGTAAGCTCATTTCTTCAGTCATATATATACATATATAAAGCTATAACTTTGGCAAAAGAAGTAGATTACTTTCACAAAATTAGATTTTAGACACTAAAAAGTTGTGAATATGTAAATGAGATAGTCTAAATTTGCATTTGTAACAAATGCAGGGCCAAATATGGAATTGAGGAGATGTGTAGAGATTTGTGGAACTGGGCCAGTAATAATCCTTATGGATATGATTCTTCTTCTGAAGACTCCTCTCATTAACTTTCTTAATTGTTTTCTTCTTTTGCTAAAACATATTTATCCACACTAAATTATTATAATATCCACAAGAAAAAGAAGAGTCAGATTTTAGGGAAATATAGGGACATTATGTATTATTATTATAATCAATATTCAGTCTGTGTTAAAAAAAAAATCCTATGTTATGATCCAAAAATATTAAAAAACAGACGAATAATTAATAGAAAAATATATGTTATTGAATATTCATTTGTTCTTCATTTTTTTTTTTTTCATTTGTTCTTCCTTTAAAGAAAAAAGATTTGTTATCAAAGATAAAAAGCAAATGTTTAGCTTTATATGGCAAGAAGAACCTTGATGCTGTTACGACGTCGTTTTCGGTTCGGTGATAGTTGAAATGTATCTTTCAGAAGCTTTGAAGTTCAAGAGCCCCACACACAGACACACACTCTTTATAAACATAACCACTGGACAGTAACCAAACTTCAGATCTGAATCAACCTCTTAAGGTTCGTCAATAGTTTCATTCTGTTTTTCACTAATAGTTTATGCACAATCTGAATCTTTCTTCTATGTGATTGATTTGGATTTGATTATTAATTTTGACATTATCACAAACTTAGATTGAGTTTGTGTTTGGGGTTGTTTCCAAAATCATTTCTGTGAAGGAGATTATTCAAATTTTATGGTTAGGGTTCTAACGAGATTGGGAATTTTAGTTAGTAGTGACAATTTTACATGTGATTTATTGTCTCTAATTTTGAATTAATATCTGATTATACCATTTTTAACATGTTTAGTGGCACAGAAGAAGGGGAAAGGAATGATGATTTGTGAAAGAGATGATTTCAGTCTCACTGGGCCATTACACTTAACATCCATAGATTGGTTTGCATCTACTTCTTCTACTCTCCTTATGCATTTTACGAGATTTTGTTTTGTCGAAAAACTGAATCTTTTTGTTCATGAAATGTTTGTTGAGTTAGCTAATGTTTGGGCACCATTGGTTTTAGACTTTAGAGCTAACCCTTGTGTTTAAAAACACGAAAAATTGTTCCTTTATGTTTAAAATGCTCCATTTATTTGTTTTGTTGAATTTGCAGGGCTAATGAACATCATCGGCGATCCGTAGCTGGCTCATTGGTTCAAGGAATCTATGTAGCTGAGCGTGACCGTCAGCTACAAAGGGACGGTCCTGAGTTAGCTTTGTCTCCAATATGGTCTGAGTTTTTTCATTTTCGCCTCATTCGAAAGCTTGTCGATGATGCGGATAACTCTATCTTCGGAGGAATCTATGAGTACAAACCGCCGCAACTAATCTCTCAAACTGTCAAATCTTTGGAACTGAGTCCGCGTTTTGTGGTTGCTTTCAGAGGAACAGTTACAAAAGTGGACTCTATTTCCCGTGACATTGAGCATGACATCCATGTTATTAGAAACGGGCTTCACACGACAACACGGTTTGAGATAGCTATCCAAGCTGTGAGAAATATTGTTGCTTCGGTTGGTGGTTCGAATGTGTGGCTTGCTGGTCATTCTCTTGGTGCATCCATGGCATTACTTACCGGAAAAACTATCGCTAGAACCGGAGTGTTTCCTGAGTGTTTCGCCTTCAATCCGCCGTTTTTGTCTGCCCCTATCGAAAAAATCAAGGATAAGAGGATCAAACATGGGATTCGCATCGCAGGTATATAACTTAAATCTTCTCTTCAGTGTCATTCTTTAAGATACTGATCAAATTAGGCTTTGAAATATGATATATATAACCAGAGATAGATATATAAACCGAATAACCGGAATTTGTTTTGACTTTGATCCGAGCTATTATCTAAAATGCAGGAAGTGTGATCACAGCTGGACTTGCTCTAGCCAAAAAAGCCACCCAACAATACAGCCAAAACGACCGTGCATCACCCGCAACATCCGATCCATTTGCAGCCTTATCCGACTGGTTTCCGCGGCTGTACATAAACCCTGGAGACCACTTGTGCTCAGAATATATCGGTTACTTCGAGCACCGAAACAAGATGGAAGAAATCGGGATCGGGTTTGTCGAGCGGGTAGCAACACAGCACTCGTTGGGCGGTATGCTATTAGGAGGAAAAGAGCCGGTACATCTGATTCCATCTTCGGTTTTAACGGTGAACTTAAGTTCGTCAAGAGATTTTAAACAAGCTCATGGGATTCATCAGTGGTGGAGAGAAGATCAGAAGTTTGAGACTAAAGTCTACCAGTACAAATGATTATGTATCAGTTTTTAAAATTGAGTCAACCGGTATTAGGCTTCTACTTTCCGGTTTAGCCGGTTCAATGTATCGCTGTTATAAAATAAAAAGTCTCTCTAGATCTATTAAATGAAGCCGTTTTGATCTTATGTTAGCTGATTTATCATTTATGATCGGAGTTAACCGGTATATGTAAACCGGAAATAGGCGTCTACTATCTATCTATTTTAACCGGTTCAATGTGTTCTAGTCTCTTATTATAAATAGTCTGTCTCTTCATCTATAAGACGACGACGTTTTTCTTTATCTCTCTGTAAAACCTCGCAAAGCATCTTTACATTTCCCGCGCTCTTTCTCGATGTCGATCAAGCTTCTCGTTCTTGTTTTCTCTCTTCTGATAATCTTCACGAGACCCAAATTGATCGCCGATCATCACTTAACTACAAGAATCTCTCCGTTTTATCCTTCGATTCCGCCGTTTTTACCTCCATCGCCGTCGCTCAGAGCCCAATCTCCGGTGGTGAAGCCGTCTTTGCCTTTTGTACCGGCGTTGTTCGTGTTCGGAGATTCTTCTGTAGATAGTGGAACCAATAACTTTCTTGGAACCTTGGCGAGAGCAGATCGGCTTCCGTACGGTAGAGATTTTGATACGCATCAACCAACGGGAAGGTTTTGCAATGGAAGAATCCCAGTTGATTATCTAGGTTAAAATTCTTCCCCAAATTTCTGGGTTTTGATTCTAATTTTTCGATTTCAAGAATTATTTGCTCTTACTTGATTTCTTGTTTTCGATTCTTTATGAGAATTTTGGCCTTTTTTCTCAAATTCGATGTTGTTCTTGAATGTTAAAGAAAGAAATAGAGATTGAAGCATTGGTTTTTGTTTTTCCATTGAAAATCTTGTGAACAGCTGATCGTCTAGGCTTACCATTCGTTCCTAGCTATCTTGGACAAACTGGGACTGTTGAAGACATGTTTCAAGGAGTAAACTATGCATCAGCTGGTGCTGGAATCATCTTATCAAGTGGATCCGAACTGGTAATACTCAGTTTTGAGAGTCTTTTGAGTTCATTTTCTGGATACCATCTTTCAGTTTTTTCGATCCTGTGGGGAATTTTGTTGTTGCAGGGCCAGCGGGTTTCATTCGCGATGCAGGTTGAGCAGTTTGTTGATACATTCCAGCAGATGATACTGAGTATTGGGGAGGAGGCTTCGGAACGTTTGGTCTCAAACTCGGTTTTCTACATATCGATTGGAGTGAATGATTACATACATTTCTACATCAGAAACATCTCCAATGTGCAGAATCTCTATACTCCTTGGAATTTTAATCAGTTCTTGGCTTCTAATATGAGACAGGAGCTCAAGGTTAGACTTCTTATCAATTTTTATACGTTTGCTCTTGGTGGATAGTCATAGTCTATAGGGACAAACAAGTATGATTCTGAGTTAGGATACCACTTTTATAGTTCTAACATCTGTGTTTATAAAGATCAAAACGTTGCCTTTATAAAGATCAAATCACAACCCTTGTTCTGTTTTGGATCTCTGGTTTATAAGAGACTATAAAGCTCATATAGCTGCAAATCGATAGCCTAAAAATGATTGAGATATAGATATTTGCCTCTTCGTTGAGTTCCATTGATGTCACTAATAAGAGAAGTATTGTGTTGGTTTCACAGACCCTGTACAATGTTAAAGTGAGGAGGATGGTGGTGATGGGACTGCCACCTATTGGCTGTGCACCATACTACATGTGGAAATACAGGAGTCAGAACGGAGAATGTGCAGAAGAAGTGAACAGCATGATCATGGAATCCAACTTTGTCATGAGATACACTGTAGATAAACTCAACCGTGAACTTCCAGGCGCATCCATTATCTACTGCGACGTGTTCCAAAGCGCTATGGACATCCTCAGGAACCACCAACTCTACGGTAAGCACCACTTCCATGTCAATTCTCAATTCACAAAAAAAACTGTGACTGATAACAACATAGCATTATAATCCCATAGGAGTATCTTGGACTTCTAAGAGTGATATATAGAGTTTTCTGATCATCTTCAAGTGTGAAAGAGTCTTGTTGAATCTTAGTTGTTTGTGTTGTTTGTGGTGTGGACAGGTTTTAATGAGACAACAGATGCGTGTTGTGGGCTAGGGAGGTACAAAGGATGGCTTCCATGCATCTCACCGGAGATGGCTTGCTCCGACGCCTCCGGTCATCTATGGTGGGACCAGTTTCATCCTACAGACGCCGTTAACGCTATCCTCGCCGACAATGTATGGAATGGTCGTCACGTGGACATGTGTTACCCTACTAACCTAGAAACTATGCTTCACTCTTAAATAAATCAGCTGAGAAAATAAAAATGTACATAAAAAACATAGTGTAAAGTGTAAATGACCTTTGCAATATTGTTTTTTTTTGGCCCCATAGTGCGTAAAAGAAACCTATGGGGTCTTTCTAACTAAAGAAAGAAAGTACGGGGTTAGAGAAGAAAAAGGATAATGTTTTACAAAGTTGGGCTCAATGTATTGGTAAATTTACGTAAATGGCCCACATGAAACAGAAAGTTAAAAGATTCGACCCATAAAAGCACATGTGGTCCATCTTTTTGGTTTATAAATGGAAAATTTCATCTTCAGAGAGACGAAGACATAATTTCAATTCTTGGGCTAAGGAGGTGACGTCATCTCCACCCTCTCGTAAATTTTCCACACTTTTGTTTTTCCAATTTTGCCCTCGGACGCTGCTTCGCCTTTTTTTTTTTCCAATTTCATCATCAAGGGTTCTGAGATTTTTTTCTTCCTCTCAGCTTCTTCGTAGGTTTTGATCCGAGGTAGGTAGGTTTTGGGTTTACAACAATTTTACCTTAATTTTCCTCTCGGTTCTTTCTCGCTCTCGTTCTCGTCAGAGGAAATCGATTTCGTCTTTGATCACTTTGTCTTTTCTTTTTTTTTTTTCAGAAAATGGAGCTCGATTTTGACGTTAGTAACTTGGTTGAAGATGAAGCTGCTGAAGTTGAACATAATGTTAGTGTAAACTTGTACTTTCTCGGCTATTTTTCTTTTGTTTGAACTAATCATGGGTTTACCTTCTGATTTTCGAACCTGGAGCTTAAAACTTGTAATTTCCGGTGAAAATGGTTGTTATATGTAGCTTCATAGTTAGAATCATGAACAGAAGTTGCTATATCAAGCATTTCATTTAGTTTGTGTCACGTTTCTAGGAACCTTTGTGTTACAATAATAATAATTATTACTTCTCATTGTGATTTTGATTTCTTTGAACAGGACATGGCTGGAATTGAAGGGGAAAGATGTGGGATTTGCATGGATATAATTATTGATAGAGGCGTTCTTGATTGCTGTCAGCACTGGTAAAAAAAAGCTTATTTTCTCTTAGCATTGTCTTTTCTTAGTCTACAAAAGTTGCATAGTGTCCTTAAGAGTTACCTCGGTTCTGCGAAGATTAACTATTGCAATGTTTAACCTGCTGTGTCTTTGGTGGACTGTTTATCAAGGAGTAGATTGGTAATTTGTGTCTATGTCTGTTAAATTTCAGGTTCTGCTTTGAATGCATTGATAATTGGTCTACGATTATGAACCTCTGCCCTCTCTGTCAGAGAGAGTTTCAGTTGATTACATGTGTCCCTGTAAGATTTCTTAACATTTATCTGTCATCATTTTTGTAAGTGGAGCTCTTGGGTTAGGTATAATGAGTTTTTGGTTTGATCGTGAAGGTGTATGATTCAGGTGAAAGCAGCAAGGTTGATGAGGTTTCGTTATCAGGGTACTATGTTTTTCCTTGTGTCTATGTTTGTGATAAACTTTGCTTGCCTGAACTATCTGAGTGGTCTCTTTGTCCTCAATTATGTGTGGCCTATAATGATTAATTTATACTAAATGGCATAGTATGATCAAGGGATTGAAAAGGTGATAAAAGTCATGTGTACCAGAGGTTTAGTATGTGCGAAATAACTGTTGTGATCTGCTGACGTTAAAATAAGCTATCAAATACATGCAGAGATGAAGATTGCTGCATTGAAGAGGAGACTGATGCCGTCTCTTCTCCGTCACACTATATTGACGAAACACACTATATTGATGAAAATGTGAGTATAGCATATATGGGTTTTCCTAGTCGCTACAAAGTACATTAAGTTTTCCTAATCATTTTGTAGGCAGTTATCTGTTTAGATGGCGATCTTTGCAAGCTCCGTAACACTTTCAGTTACATTGGAGGGGATTCCAACCTTGATACATCAATTGCTTGTGATTCGTGTGATACGTGGTAACTGTTATTACCTGTTAAATTTATCCATGGGTTGTTTTTTGTGTGCACATTGTCCTGATTATTGGTTTACCTTTTTTATTTATTTCTATCACTCTAATTCATTGACTGGTGAACTTTTGGTGCTTGCTTAGTTGTTACAGTGACATAATATTTGTGTCTACCATGCTTATAGATGAAGAATTTTGTGTTTAAATCTAGTTGTGCTACCAGTTTCTAATTGCAATCACTATCAGATGAAGGAATTTGGTAAATATGACATGTAAACGACAAAGATACTAGCCTTTTCAATCTTTCATATGCACTTGACTTTGTATATTTCTGCTTGTTGCTTTCATCTATGCTAACAGGTATCATGCTATTTGCGTGGGTTTTGACGTAGAAAATGCATCAGAGGATACATGGGTATGTCCGAGGTAGGTTTCATTGGTGTATTGACTACATATGATTGCTTAATCCATGTTTTGATAACTTCAGCACCGTTGTTTCATTATATTGTTTCTTTAATTATTAGCCTATTAGGTAAACATATATATTTATAGTAGAGTTTCCACTAAATTATTTTAATCTTTTCCGTGTGCAAGTCCTATGTTTATCTAGTATAGACACTTTGTACCAAATCTGAGTGAAATCTAATGCTTATACATATTAATCTTCCTTTCTCTATCTTTATTAGCCATCTTGTCATAGTTTACTCTCATTTGCTTTGTGTCCACAGATGTCTCTCTAGTGAAAAATCACATGAACCTGATACATCACCAATGGAAACACAACCTGATACCTCACCAGTGGAGACAAGAAAGTCCCTGGATATTTCTGAGAAGACAAATAGCGGATGCTCAGCAGAGGCTGTTTACTCTGGAAACTTTTCAGTTACAGTAGCTGATGAAGGCGAGACAGCTCTTGTTGTATCAATAGTCAAAGGAGACGAGTCTCATATGGAACCAAGTGATACCAACCCATTGCCAGTTGAAGCTAAAATGGATGGAGACCCAGATAGTTCGCATCTGAAAGTTCTATGTAGGGAGGAAAATACAGAACAGGTCCCAGTAAAATCGGAGCTCAAGCAGTCCTTACCACATGATATATCATCAAGACTATCTTCTGATTCATATCAACCATTTTTTGCTGCAGACATGGAGAATAGAGCAGGTATATTGATTGACCTGACTCTTAGTTGTAATTTCCTAAAACGTATGGATTCTCAATATGCTTTGTCCTTTAGTTCTGCTAAATAATAATTTAACCTTCTTATGCAACTGTAGACCCTGTTGTAGAGAAGGACTGTCTGTCAGTAGATGATAAAAATGGTAAGTAAAATACTATCCTTTGTTCGCCTGTTTATCTTCTGCGTCCTTCATTTCTTCCTCTTTATGGCTAAATGTTATTTGATCAATATTTGCATTTGCATAGTTGGGTCTTATATACTGTAATGCGTTTACCAGATCTTTCCACTACAGCCATTTCCAATTCAGATGTTCCTAGTGTTGTCAGCTTAAAGAGAAAGCATTCAGATTGCAGGTCAGTTTCACAGATGAAATATGTTCTTTTCTTGGTACCATCTTTCCCTCTTTACTATGCTTTGTATCGAATTTTTGAGTGTGTTGTTGTTTCATCGTGGCTTTTCTTTACCAGTGGGGATGATGGCAATTCAGAAACTAAACCTGAGATTTACAAAGCTCTCAATAAACCAAAACTGGAGGAAGAGGAAGAATTAGCTACCTTTCACCACGAGAGCAGATCCCCTTCAAACAATACAACTGTTGATATATTCAGCATTGTTAAAGGAACTGGGCGTAGAAAAAATCTCATGCGTTCAAATCCTACTGATAAGTCTTCAGAAGGAGAGAATGCTGCTGGTTTGAGGGTAAAGAAGATCAAGAGGACACCGGAGGACGAGCAAGAGTCAATGGTTCTGGTTGAGAAACTAAGGAAAGAAATAAGAGAAGCCGTTCGTAACAAATCGATGGAGGATATCACAGAAAACCAATTCGATCCAAAACTTTTGGCCGCCTTTAGAGCTGCTGTGGCAGGACCTAAAACTGATGAAGCACCTAGAAAAATTTCGGCTCTTGCAGTGAAGGCAAAGAAGTTGATGCTGCAGAAAGGAAAAGTCAGAGAGAATCTGACGAAGAAAATTTATGCAGATTTAAATGGGAAGCGGAAAAGTGCATGGCACCGGGACTGTGAAGTTGAGTTTTGGAAGCATCGGTGCATACAAAGTAGAAAGCCTGAAAAAATTGAAACTCTGAAGTCTGTTCTTAGCCTCTTGAAGAAGAAACCAGGTGACGCCAAAACAAACTTTTCATCTGAAACCCCACAGGCCTCAAATCCTATCCTCTCCAGATTGTATTTGGCAGATACCTCCGTGTTCCCAAGAAATGATAATCTCAAGCCTCTGTTGGCACCAAAAGAAATGGGAAACTCACAAAACAATGCAAAACCCACAGAAGCCAACAAAACTTTACCAAAGATTAGTGATGCCAAGGGGAGCAGGTTAAAAGCTGTTGGATCAAAACTGAACTCAGGAAACAAACAGTCGGATGGGCAACCTAATCTTACATCGAGTAACTCTAAGGAAATGTTTGACATTCCTGACGATCTCAAGAAAGACAAAAGGAAATGGGCATTGCAGGTTCTTGCAAGAAAGAAAGCTTTAGCTGGCAACAACTCAACCCAAGACAGAGAAGGCTCTCCCGAGCTCAAAGGGAATTATCCATTGTTGGTGTGTAATTCTTGTCACTTACTTTGTTGCTTTTAAAAATCCGGTGTTTTGAGATTGTCACTCGTTTGTTTCTATCAGGCTCAACTTCCAGCTGATATGAGACCAAGCCTTGCAACCAGTCGCCATAATAAAGTTCCTGTTGCAGTTAGGCAGGTACGTGGATAGCTCTTTACTTTAATTTCCGGTTCCCGTGGCATTGATTAGTGATAGGTTCATAGTGAGTTGCTTGGGTTCCAGATATTGAATAAGAGGTCACTGTTTTGATATTATTGTTAGTTCTAGGTTATACGGTAGAATAAGCTGAGCAATCGTACACACATTTCGGTTAGTGAACATGTACACATATGAGAGGGCGGTCTTTCTTACAAATACTAGGTAGTCATTTCATGTGTTTGGGAAACCTGTGAAAGATTTGCTCTACTGTTTGATAAGATTGTCATTATATAATATTTTCTCGTTGGTCCTAATTCGAGGATCAAAATTATTTTTGGAAAACAATAAGATTTAATACTTGTCTATAGCTAGCTTCATCAGTTTCGTATGTGCTTTTATTACGGTTACATATTTTTAACTGGTAATACAGAAAATTGAGGCTAATCTGTTATTGATTTTCCTGCCACAACATTATTAACATCACAACTTGTGAAATAGCTAGCTTTATTACTTGCACATGTGCTTGTTTTTGTTCCTAAGCAAATTGCTATTTCTGCAGACACAATTATATCGCCTGACAGAACATTTCTTAAAGAAAGAAAACCTTCTGTCTGTTCGAAGAAGTGCAGCAACAGAACTAGCCGTTGCTGATGCTATAAATATCGAGAAAGCGATCGCTGACAAATCAAGTAGCAAAGTTGTGTATCTGAATCTATGCTCACAAGAAATACTGCATCATTCAGAGAGCAAAGCGATGGATAATGCTGTAGAACCGAATTCGTCATCACCAATGGCTGTTAACGAGACAGAACGTATTAGTGGTAAAGATTCAGATGATCCCACCATCCTTGAAGCGCTCAGAGCAGCAGGTCTTGCTGATTCACCACCAAACAGCCCAACCCGTTCAACAGAAGTTCCTCCAGAGAAAGGAGACAGTTTCTTGGACAAAGCAAGAGCAGGCCCAGATAATGTACTTGACTTAGATTCCGTTCCTAATACAGACATCTTTGGGGATTTTGAGTATGAATTGGATGAAGAAGACTATATCGGTGCTACCATGGCTACAAAAGCTTCAGTAACGCAGCAGGATGAAAGCTTGACGAAGGTGAAGGTAGTTTTATCCACTGTTCAACCTGGAAAGTCTTTGAATCAATCTGAAGTCGTGGGTGATGAAGAGACAACAACTGAAAACCAGAAGGAGATCACAAATGGCAAAGAAGATGGGAAGAGCTTTGTTCCTATGGAGCCTGTACCTGAGGCTGAGGGAGAAGGAGAAGGAGAAGGAGAAGGAGAAGGAGAAGGAGGAGGTGAGATCCTTTCTGTAGCTGAATGTGAAGAACTATACGGACCTGGTACAGAGAAACTAGTTGAGAAACCTCTCATCGAAGGATTTGCTGAGAATGGTGTTAAAGCTAAAGCACCTGATTCAGAGTGCGAGAGCAACACGCACAGAGAGTTCATCGCTTCAAACTTTGAAATCCCTTCCATTCAAGAGAAAAAACTTCCCAGAAGCATTCAAAAGTGCAAACCAAGCGAAAAGCCGTCTAAAGAGGAAAAAGGCAAAGCTGATGGGTTTGGTAACTCCATCACCAAGAAGGTACTAAAAACTGTAAAACTCTCGTCATGTCAAAATTCTCATTCCCTTTGTCTTCAATGGTTTTATTGTTTTCTTAAGGTGGAAGCATACATCAAAGAACATATCAGACCACTATGCAAGAGCGGAGTGATAGACGTGGAACAATACAGATGGGCAGTGACGAAAACCACAGAGAAAGTGATGAAGTACCATAGCAAAGCCAAGAGTGCTAACTTCTTGATCAAAGAAGGAGACAAGATCAAGAAACTTGCCGAGCAATACGTCGAAACCGCTTCCTCTGGAGCTCACCACAAGGACAAGGACAAGGGCAAGTGACAATCAGATGCGTAAATAAGTAGTTCAGTACAAAAACGTAAATAGATTTTAATTAGCATCTCTCTTTTGTCTTCTCCACGGGTTTTGGAACTTAAGTCTTCTCTTAGGGCAAGAAAATCAGTTCTTGTTTTATCCGACCCAGACCAGCAGACCCAAATGTGTCTGAAACTGAGATTTACTTGGTCGCTGACATCGTTTTGGAAAATTATTTAGAGATGAAAAAGTTATATTTATTAATTACATACTTTTTCATCACTGTGATTAACCTGAACTAGTAAACTTAAACATAAATCGCCAAATGAAAAAGAAGAAAATGATAGCGTGGTTCACAAGAAATATAGAGTTTGGGTCAAAGCATTGAATTTCCTGAAAAAAAAGCCTCTTGGGCCTAACCTGTCTCATTTATTTCTTTTTCTTGAAGTACCAAAACGACGACGTCTCTGTTTTCTTTTGGATAAACATACATCGGAAATGACCATAATACCCTTCAAACTTAAGGCTATTTCCTACAGTGACACATTTTGATAAACATTTGCGATGGTCAGTTACGGAGTTGGAGACAAAAAAAGCTTCTGAATCTCTCTCTCTCTCTCTCTCTTCTTCGTCTCGCCAAATTCATTTCTAGGGTTTCATCAGAAGAAGGAACCACCATTAAACCCTACGTGCGTCACCTTTCAAGCTCCTTCTTCTCTAGGTGTATTTTTTCTGATTCATGTTTACCAAGTTCTCATGTCTTTATTGTTCTTCATAATCGCAGTATCAATCGCAATCGTTTTCTCCCTCTCTCGATCTGTCCCTTAGTAGAGAAAACTGGACAACAAACCTATGCCTTCGACGCCGCTGGCGAACGGTGTTTCGCCTCCTCTGTGTGGCGTAGAGAGAACGGAGGTTACGGCTTCCTCCACGGTGGCGGATGATAAGCCGGGAGTTTCAATGATGGAACAGTTAGTTCCGGAAATTACAACCCACGCGCTTAGTTACTTGGATTATCCTAGTCTCTGTCGCTTATCCATGACTAATTCCTTGATGAGGAAAGCTGCTAATGATGATAATGCTTGGAAAGCTCTTTATCACAAGGTAAAATTTGGAATCACTAATCACTCATTTGTATTAGCTTTTGTGTATTGGAAATTCAGAAATGATGATTCTAGGTTAAAACATGAATTCTAGGTTTAATGAATGGTTCTCTTTTGTTCTTTGTCTTACTTGTTTTCATGTGTATTAGGATTTTACGATGGAGCAAGATGGTATAACTCCAGTCAATGGGTGGAAAGCTTACTATGCAACTACTAGAGCGATTATTAGTGTCAATACTGAATTCTTCAGCATCATTAGAGACAGAGCGCTTCAAGTGATGGCTCGTTTATGGTTGAACTCGGACTATGTTAAGTGTATCCATGCCTCTGGTGAACTCTTCTCCGGGTAACAACTACTCCACCTTTCATTCATCTCCTTGCTTTTGTATATGAGGAATGGCTTTCATATTATATTTTTGTTTCTGGTTCTGTCATCCTAATGTGTACCTAGCATGTTCAGTATCGGTTTGATGTTATCTTAGTTTGAGTGTACTAGCGGAACAATCTCTTGTGCAGTTCCTAGTGATACAAGATGTTTAAGAGTATTGTTTGATATAGTAAAAACGCTCAAGCGAAAGATTTACAGCAGTAGGATAACATAGTTAACACTGGTATATCCACAGTAGCTTTGATAGAAATTTGGATTCTTTCAGCATATTCAATATCCTGAATAAGAATGGGAAATGTGATTACATTGTTTGAGTCTACTCCACACAATTTCATTCATATGCATCTGTGTTCCAGATTTGGTCATCCTCAAATTGGCTAGAGACATCTTTGTGGATTTGTTTGAAAGAAATCAGTATGAACCATCTATGTTTTGCTCTGTCCAATGCAGGTACAATGAAGTGATGCAAAGCTGGCAACTTTGTTTCAACTGGGAACAAGGGTTTGACTTTCAGGTCCACACGGTTCGCACTCGGATACTAACAGACATGGCTTGGGTCACCATGAAAGCATACCTGAACGTGGACGGTGGTCCATTCCTGATCACCAATGTGTTCGAGTTCCATAATGGAAGGTGGCACATGGTTCATCATCACAGCTCAGTGATGCTCATCGATGATCAACAAGTTGTTGTTCATTGATGATATTATCTCTTAGTTTTTGTTTCCTTCTCTTCTTTTATTTTCACGGGGACCAAAAAATTAAGAAGAAGAAAGAAACTGCATATTGGAGAAATTGGCTTATTAGTTTTTTAGTGTCATTATTTAGTTTTAACTACATGTACTGAATGTTCTTTTTTTCAGTTGCTCTTGAATGGTTGGTCTAATTTTTTTTCCCTAATTTCTATACGGTTTTTCGAATTTAATCAATTGTGACAATGAGAAATTTGATTAAAAGTATTGCAAAATTGTTTTGCACTGTTTGTACAAGACTCGGTACATTTTTGCTGCATCTTACTATTGAATTTACATCGTAATACATTCATATATATACAGAAAATATAAAGTAATCTTCGGAATAATTAAGTTGTAAATTTTTAACAAAAATATATGTGATGAATCTACCAGAAAAAAATAGTTGAATTTTGAATTTTCTGTAAGCTTATGGAGTATAATCTACATATACATTTTTACAGTATTTTTTTGCTTTAATTCTTTTGGATCCGGGTTTGACCCGGTTTTAGTCTATTCGGATCTTGGATAAGCAATTTTAGGGATGTTGTCTTAATTTCAAACTAATAAATGAAGCCTTTATTAATTTCAAACTGAAAAAATTTATGGCAATATTAAAACGAAATTAATTCCTTTATTAATTCATATTTGTTAATTTCCTTAACTTCTCCCCACACCTAATTATTAATTTTCTTTAAGAGAATATGCGTATAACAAAACAAATAAGTTACCTATTTTAATGGTAAATAATCTTATTTGTTATATATATATATGATATCTCTAAACTAACCATATTTGTTATTTACCTTAACTACTTCTAACCATAATTATCTAACTACTTATTTTTATATAGAAAGAATATGTGATTAAAATAAATATTTTGTAAATATTAATTTGGGGACAAATTCTTACGAAAATAATTTGTTTTGTTATAAAATTTAATGTTTGTTATTTTTCTAAATTATTTTTGAAACTAAATTACATAAATACTAATAATAATTTGTCTACACCATAAAATGAAAATAGTTATTTATTTTAAATTTTTATATAATATTACGTAATTTGTTTTAGTTATATTTTCTGATATAGGTGAACAAATTATTTTCGTATTTATGAAAATTATAAAATCTAAATTAGTTTAAAATTTGAAATAACTATAATCCTAAATTTTAATCTTTATGGGTAGGTTTTTTTTTGTGACCAAAAATATTCAATTGGATCTTTCTTTAAATTTTGGCAATATCCAAAATGAAATTAATTTATAAACTCTAAAAATATCTATATTTTTAACTATTTCTATATCTAAACTCTTTATTTATGACATATATTCTTCACGATTTTTACAGAAAAAGATATAAAATATGATGAGTTAATGCTAATTAACAAATTTGAGCTAATTTTTTACAATCTCTCGACCTAATTTAAACAGAATTATATAATTCTCATTTCACTTTTATTTGATGTTATATTTATATTATTTTGAATTATTAGAAATAAATGTAGTTAATAAATTGGGTATTTTTGATAGAAATAATGATAATCGGATATATGAGTATTTTTGACAGCAAAAATAAGAAACCTTACCGGACTTGTATGGTAACTTCTATGTAAATTATTCAATTTAAAATCGAATATTAAATCAACAAATACAATTCCGAAGTATATGGTAACTTCTTCGTTATTTAGGGAAAAAATTTCGCTAAGATATATAGAATCTTCTAATTATCAGATTAACCATCAAATATTCTCTACGATCTTGAACTATGGAAAGTCATAAAGTTGGTTTACTGCAAAATTATAAAAATCGCGAAAGCGCAAATCAAATATGTTAAGATCTTTAACGATAGAAACTGAAATTAATTTCGTTTAGATATTCTGATGCGATTAACTATAGCATATCTACGCTAATTACTTATAGAATATTTTGCAGAATATGCTTTTCTTAAAACCCTAATAAAGCAACCTAATTCTAAACATTATAAATATAGGCTCTGCTATTCGGCAAATCATTTTTCATTCATCCACACAAACTTCTCTCAGCATCTATGCTTCAGTTTTTGAGCAATCTAATTTTTATTTTTCATTGTGTATTCTCTATTTTCTATTAATGATGTTATGTTTCTACGATTTTAATTCTTTTTTTTGTTTTGATATCTCAGCATCTATGCTTCAGTTTTTGAGCAATCTAATTTTTATTTTCATTGTGTATTCTCTATTTTCTATTAATGATGTAATGTTTCTACGATTTTAATTCTTTTTTTTGTTTTGATATCTGTTTAATACAAACGCGTGCGGCGTGTCTAAGTATATGTTTTCCTAAAAACATAGTATTTTCCTTACCCCTAAAACATTCATTACCAAGATTTCAAAATTCCATTTTACCGCTAAATCATAATTAATATGACAGATTTTTATTGTAAACAATTTATCATTTTTTCATACACTACACAATTTTCTCTACTAAAAATATACAATATTAAAATCAATGTCACAACATGTAAAATTAATATTTCCAGCGGTATACCGCGGGCTCTCAACCTGAAAAAGAAAAATTAATTTTATTATTTAGTAAAATTATAGGCCCGCGGTGTACCGCGGGTTAATTTCTAGTAGAAAAGTAAATTGGAAGCAATAATTGTGAAAAGGACCTTTATGAACTTAAGATTGTGATTAATAATCTCGGTTAAAGCAATACGTATAATGAATGCTAATAACATACTCTTTCCGTTTCATAAAGATGGTCGTTTTAAGATTTTAATCTAGTTTTACAAAAAGTACCGTTTTGTTAATGCAGTTATTAAGACAAATTCTCTTTTTTTTATTCTTATTATTTTATCTTACTAATTAGAGAGTGCATTCTCTAGTGTATTAATAGCTAATTGAAATAGAATTTGTTTACTTTTATTAATTTGTGTGACAAATGGTAGAGTGACACTCTTTGTGAAACAGAGGAAGTACTAGACTATCCTATTATAACTGATATCCTTTTTACAAATAGTATCGATATAAATTTTATTTTTGTTTCACAAAAAGTATGGTTTTAAATTTTTAATGTAGTTCTTAAGGCTAAATCTTTTTTTATCCCTATTATTTTAGCTTACTAATTTGAAAGAGAAACTATTTTTGACTGTAATTATAAAGGGTATAGTTGAAATTCAAATAATTTTCTTAATTTATGTGAAGTATGTCAAAATGACACTTTTTGTAAACCAAAAGAAGTACATGTTTCTACAAAATTTAGCAAAATATATGATTATAATTATTATTATTATTATTATCAGATCTATGACTAACCACATATAAGAAGCAAGTAGAATAGTCACCAGTAAAGAGCCGACAACATTATTCGAAGACAATAATGCATGTGTCGCTCAAATAAAAAAAAGTTATATCAAGAGCGACAAAACAAAGCATATGTCTCCAAGGTTTTTCTCCTTCACTCGAGAAAAACAAGGAGGTTGATATCCAATATATATCCGCTCAAGTGACAATGCAACAGACCTATTTATAAAGACGATTCCTACGTCAACATTCAAAAAGCATATTCACAGGATTGGAATACGTCATCTACGAGATCTGTGAAGGAAAGATTATATACTTTTTTCATGGAGAGATTGCGTCATCGTACTATTTTTTTTTTTATCATGGTTTTTACCCAATAAATTTTTTAATGATAAAATTTGGAGTCAATTAGCTGCATGCTAATTATTTGAGAAATAATTAGGTGTGGCATACACAAGTTTTTTTCTTTGCAAAACAAGAGAGAGAAAACTTTGGTTTAGTAAAATTTGGACGAAATTGCCCCTCAAATTAAAAGCGGAAATTTTATGTAGAAGATATATGCGTCATGGAACTTACAGTGGGCCACCACTTATTAAATGCTTCCATCGATAATATATTCTACTACATAATTAAATGTCGTGATATCTTGTTTTTTATCAGATACATGAATATATATCAATACATCGTAATATTCTATTAATATTGTTTACATATGATATATCACTATAAAACATTGTAGTGGTTGTGATAGGTGAGTGAAGTAAATTTAACATTGTAGTGGTTGTGTTGAATTGTATGTTAGTGGCGGAGGAGGTGATGGTGATGTGAATGAAGAATATATTGCGGTTGAAGAGAAGGTGGTGATAGTGAACGGGATAGAAATTATATTGGCGATGACATAGGTGAGACTATAACGATAAATGAATTGAGAGACAAAGATGCTTAACCATCACTAGATTTGTTCTTAGCGTCGTCGGTTGACGGTGTCTCAAATCATCTCTAACAGAAGCTCAATAATAACGAACGACACCCAAACATACGACGTCTCTATACCGAATTTTTTTTAAGGTTTATGGAGTACATTTTAATCAGAAATATGCACGAGTTTATTGAATTCAAAATATCATAATTTTAGATGCAATCAGTTTCACAATTAAGAAGAATCATTTGTTTGGGGTTTTCATAAAGTAAAGAAAAAAAAAAAAAAAAAAAATAATAAAAGGAAAGAGAAAAGAAGAAGGAAGGAAGAAAGAATGAAGAGTCTAAATGGTAACATTAGTTTTGAGGAATTGTTGAGGAATTTTGGTGGAAAAAAAAATGTTACATCATTTGAAGATTTGAGGAATTTTTGAGGAATTGGTGGAATTCTTGAGGAATTTTTTTTGTTAGGCTTTTTTTTTTTAATTAAAAATTAAATTATACTTGAAACCAAAATATATAATAATTATGTTTGATAACACTATACATATATTAACTTAAAACTTTCAATAATTTTTGTAACCTTAAAAACTTTTAGAAATTTTAGAGAATTTAATTAATTTAAAAACATAAATCAGATTCGTGTTTAGCTAACTTAATTATATTTCTAATATAGTAATTTTAAATTTCTTCAAAATTCAACCTTATTTTTTACAAGTTACAAGGTTTTCATAATATTTTGTTTTTAACTAATTTTATTGGAAATGTTTTTCCTAATTAAAATTTTTAGAAGTTTATTTGATTAATTAATTTTTCAAAAAATTCAGCCAGATTCAGCAGTTACCATTTGAACTTTAAATTATTCAGCAAGATTCCGCAAGAAATCACAAATAAATTCAGCTAGATTCAGCAATTCAGCCAGATTCAACCGGATTCCTCGGTTACCATTTAGACCCGAAGTGTTTGATTTTAGGGGTATTTTAGTCTTTTTGTAATGTTTTCAAATGATCATTTATTTACAGGTTTGCCACTTCTCCTTTGACTTAAATACTTCTCAGTCTTAGGGTATGTAGTGTAATTACTCTAAAATTTGTAGGAAAACAATATGCAATATATCAATAATGATAGATACTTAAAGAGGAGTATTGAAAAACAAAGTGATTATCCATCACTAGATTTGATCATTTGGTCTCATATTTAATCTTATCTTTAGAACATTACTTGGCCATCAAATTCTTTTATTCCCAAATAATTAATACTTATATTGTTCTACGTTTACTATATATATATCTAATCTACTCAATTATTGGGTTTTTTGTTATAACTGTAAAACTATATAGGTTTATATATTATTTCATAAAAAGAGAAACCAATAATTGAGTAGATTAGATAAGGTAAAGAGAAATCTACTTTTCGGTTCAGATACTGGTTACGCAATCTAACTCCGTACCGTACCGTACCGAACAGATGTCAGCTTTTACTCCGGTTTAGATTTTGGTTAACGTAAGCAAACTTTTCGAGACGATGACCTAATAGATGCCACGTAGGATCACCGAAACAATAAAACGACACCGTATTAAACCCAAAAATCTACCCATAAAAGTCCCAAAAAAATTCTCCGATACCCGATTTAGTTAAAAACTCATTCACCGATTTTCAAAATCACGACGGAGAAAAAAAACCTAAAAATGGAGAAAGAGACGAAGGAGAAGATCGAGAGAACTGTGAGAGAGATACTCAATGAATCAGATATGAAAGAGATGACAGAGTTCAAGGTTCGTCAACTTGCTTCGGAGGGACTCGGAATCGATCTCTCTGAGAAATCTCACAAAGCCTTTGTACGAAGTGTCGTGGAAAAATTCCTTCACGAAGAGAGAGCGAGAGACTATGAAAAATCGCAAGTCAATAAGGAAGAAGAAGAAGAAGAAGAAGATGGAGATAAGGATTGTGGTAAAGGAAACAAAGAGTTTGATGATGACGGCGATCTTATCATTTGTCGGGTTTGATTTCATTGCTCTTTGTTGAATTCGATTCTCTGTTTTGCTTGAAATGGATTGATTTTGATTCGAGGTTAATGAATTTGAAATTCTAGAGGAGATGATAGTCGATTTTTGTGAAGCAGAGCTTGTGAATTAGTTGAAATGGTGTGTTCTGAATTGTCACTGGTTTTGATTTCATTGCTCTTTGTTGAATTCGATTCTCGATTTTGCTTGAAATTGGATTGATTTTGATTTGATGTGATTTAACTTGGCCTATTAGAGAAGCTAATAGTCTCTACTCAATCGATGTTTTTGAAGCAGAGCTTTTGAATTAGTGTTCTGAATTCTGACTGATATTTTGTGCTGAATCGATTTTTCGATTTTGCTCTAATCGGTGTTTGTTTTAGGAAGCAGAGGTTGTGAATTAGTTGAATGTGTTGTGTTTTGAATTGTGTGACTGATTCATGATTTTTGTTGTGGGTTTATGTTTAGCTATCGGATAAGAGAAGAGTGACGATTCAGGAATTTAAAGGGAAGACTTTGGTTTCTATTAGAGAGTATTACAAGAAAGATGGCAAAGAACTTCCTACTTCTAAAGGTACTTACTTGAAAGCTAAGAGAGCTTAGTTCTAAAACAATTTGTTTCGGAAGGAAGACATTGTAGAACCAAATTCTTCAATTTGTGTGTCCAAATGCTTCTTCCATTTGTGTGTTTATGTGAAAATGTTTCTTTCAAGTTCCACTTTTGAGTTGCATCAAAGTCCTTCGTGTTCATAATCTCGAAATTTGAAGTCTATGTGGATTAAGAGTTGCTAGTGTGGTAGTGTTGTGGGTGTGTTAAGTTCCATTCTAGTACTAAAAAGCTTTGCTGATTAGAAACCATTTTGGTTGAAATGTTTTCATTAGTATTTTCTTTTCTTGGAAAATTGAGAGTTATATGACTTGGAACAATTCTTCAGTTGATTTTTATCGTAATTTAGTCTAACCTCACGCTTCCTAAACTTGCTTTGGATACATCTTTAGTCTCTTCTTTTTTTTTTCAAACCATTTTTATATTTTTCAAGTATTTGAATTTGTGGTAAGTCCTGATATAGATTTTGTTTTATCTATATGAATTGTAATGTGGTTTTGAATATAGTTCATCTTTTCTTCTCTGTAGCAAGTTTATCTACCATTAAAAATGTCAAATCATTGTTTTCAAAATCAACAATTGTGAGAGAAATTTTTTTTTCTTCATTTCCAGTCTCTGAGATGTTATAATGTTCTCTTCAGGAATAAGCTTAACAGATGAACAATGGTCAACCTTCAAGAAAAACATTCCAGCCATCGAAAATGCTGTCAAGAAAATGGAATCGCGTGTCTGAATGAAGAACATGTGATGATGATTATCTCTAAACATGTGTAAGTGTCTTCTTAATTAGTGGTTCGAATGTTCTCATCTCATGTAACTGTATTTTTTTTTCTTGTTCTCTCGAATTGGTCGTAGTGTGTTTCCTCTCGAGGACTCAGTTAACGAGCTATTATCCTGAGTACTGAGTAAGTTGTACCCATTTCGCTTTAACCGGTTCCAAAAACTCTAAACCGAAGTACAAAACCATCTAATAGAAAGCCGACTGAAACCAAAAATCAAACAGAACCAAATGTATTTATATATATATTTTTTTCATTTCTCAAATGAATTTACATTTATGTACAATATACACCTTTTGCTAGGAATACAAATGAGAAACCCTGCAAAACACCCGCAATCATCGAACCTAACAGAAGTAGTTCTCATTGTTTTTCCGGGGCCGGGACGATAAGCTTTTAACTCTGACCATGTCCGAGGCAGAGGTTGAAGAAACTAAAGCTTCTGCTGCAGCAAACCTGAGCTGATCAATCAAAGCATGTGTATTGCCTTCAACCGCCAAAATCTCTTCAAGCTGCTTACTTCCGATCACAACTTTCGCTTTCCACACACCATTTCTTCTTTGCGGTGACACTTGTATCTTTGGCCCAAGTACTCCTCTAGGGCTTGTTGTGCCTTGTCTAACAAGAGACCCTAAGGTTTTCTCTCTAGTTATTGGCAACGAGCTGCATCTCCGGCTTCTGTAATATTCTTCCATAATGTTTCTTGAATCTGTCGCAATTACAGTAACCGAACCACCACCATCGGATACTGCTCTTTGCGAACAATTCCCCATCTTCACAGAAACAAAAAAATGAAAGAAGAAAAGAAAGAATCAGAGAGTTTAAAACTAAATTTTGAGTTTGATTTGACTGTTCTTGGTTCAAGAATGAGTTTATAAATACTAAATAGAGAGTAACTCTGAGACAAGGATTGATCAAACAGTCTCTTCGTTGTCTCTTAATCACTACTTGCATTGCATGTGATACTCCACGCTGTGTATAATAATATTACCTTATCCTCATTCTTTAAAACTCATTTTTCTAAAAATTTGTCTTTTTTTGTTCTCTTGCATTCATGTTGTTATGTTTCTCTTCTAGATAAAAATCTTATAAAAGATGCCAGCAATATAGCAAATATTTGAACTGAATATCTTCTGGATAGACTAAAAGTGATTATTTTTTATTATACTTATATAAATACACATATATACAAACTGTAATATGTAATCTTATCATAATACAAGAAATATATATGTATGACTACATAAGGACAAATAGTTAATATGACCCGTGGGGATGAACCAATAATGTGTTTGATTTTCATTTATTAATTTTGGAGTTGCACTATGCAATAACTAAGCTATTAGCTTATTACATTAGGAACATATCATCATTCTTATATTGTTTCTTTTTTGTTTTTTCAACTTATGGATAATTTTGTTGTAGGACTATTTGGGTTGGTAGGGAAGGAATATCAGATCCGTGACCTTATTAAATTTTAATAGGCATATATCTGTTAACCGATTACTATTTTCATTAAATCATTCATTAGTTAAAATAGATGAGCGAAAGCCACTGGTCGAACCAAACGTTTCGTATCATATCTACAAAGCGGAAAAATGAGAAAGAGTCCAACCGGATACGAACCAGTGACCTCTCGAACTGCAGTCCAATGCTTTACCACTGAGGCACTGAGCTATGACCTCTTTTGTTCGTAATTTTTTTTAATTGACAGCTCATTTGTTCGTTAATCATTATTTTTTTTTTTTATCTATTTTTTTTTATCGTTAATCATTATTTAAAAGTGTAATCGTTAATCATTTTTTTTATCGTTAATCATTATTTAATGAAAGTATAATCGTTAATGGACTTTACAGGTTTGGGTTTGAGCTGGTTATTTTACCCTTATGTTAACTTTTATTGAATCTATTACACATTTTGCATACTTTTTTTTTTTTTTTACATGAAACTATTACACAATTTTTTTGCGGTAAAAAGAAATAGATGTGAAATCATTTGCTAATCAATCAATGATATAGACAGTCACTATCACTGTGAAATCATTTGGCTTACATAGATTATTTTCTCTATATATTAAAGGGAGATTGACAAAAATAGCAATAAAATAAGTTTTTCTTCCAAAAATACTATATTTGAAAAGTTCCACAAATAGAACTATAAACTTTAAATAAATATTAAATATGCATAATTAGTTTAATTAAAATAAATAAATAAATAAAATTGGAAATTTTCCCGCCAAAAAAGAATATATCTAAGCTTTCATGAATTCATGAATTTTAGGAAGGATTCCACCTAATTCAGGAAGGGTTTCCCGATTCGTGAAATCCTTCCTAAATAACGTGAAATCCTTCCTAAAATTCGTGGAATCCTTCCTGAATTTATGGGATTTTTTTCTGGCGGGAAAAGTCGGACGGAATTTTTTGAGACGGGAAAAATTTTGACGGAATTTTGTTTTGGTTTAAAAATATTAACGATGAATTTGTGATTTTTTGTATTTATTTATAATTATTTATTAATTCAAAAAATCAAAAATAAAGTGCTATTTTTGTCTAATAAACTTTTGAGAGCTATTTTTGTCCCAAAAACTTGATTTGGGGCTATTAGAGGCAATTTCTCTATATTAAAAGAGAGTCAATTTTGATAAACTTATAAACTCTATTTTTATATTGTATATCATAAAAATTTGACAAATAAATAAAAACTTAAACTATAAGTTGCCTTAATAAAACTAATTCATTAATATAATTGACTCCGTGAACAAATGTTATATAGAAAAAAACTATTTGTACATTAGATATGCTAGTTTCAAAACGAAAGATTTGTTAAAAATAAACAAAAATAGTTGAAAAAAGAAAGGAATACAAAGTAAATTAAAATATCTAAATGTGTTAAAGAAAATTTTGCAAGTAATTTAATTCAAGATTTGATTGTTTGTTTGTTTTCATTATTTTAAATATTTTAAAGAAACATATATTAAAAATAAATGATAGGATATCATTAACCATATAAGAGAGAACAAAACTAATGAAATTAAATATATCAATAAATGTGACATTATATATATATATATATCTATATATTTATAATTCATGTAAAAGACAAAAACATATAGAAAGAAAAAACAATGATAGAAAAAATTATAATATATTGCCTCTTGTTCGCCTTTTCAATCCAAAGAACAGACTCTATTCTTGCATTTAGACGTTTTAACATTGAAATTTCAAATCATCTTGAGGGTAACAAACAACTTATGGTCCAGTGTAGATCTGGTGTGAATTCGACCCAGGTTGTTTTTCTTGCATTCAGTGGTGTGTTCAAATTTCCTATAATACTTGATTTTAAGACATTGATATGGTGCAACTTATGGAAGGTAATTTTTTTTTTTTAAAAAAACTTCTTTCACATTCTTAAATCTGAATGTATATATTTACAATTGTTATCTTGTCCATTACGAATAGTTTTGGTTTTTAAGTAAAATATGATTATGCTAATCTCATATATATATATATATATATATATATATTGGATAAAAAACAAGTACATTCATTTACAAAATCTGAATTTTCTTATCGTTCTATAGTTATATCGCGAAGACAAATAATTTTACATAGGATTTGAATAGTTATATATATATATTCAGTGCCAGCTCTAAGGGTGTGCCAAAGGAACAAAAACACAGGGTCCTCCAAAAAAAAATTCAAATTTCTTTAAGATTTAGGGTCCAAAATTTTCACTATTTAAAAAACTTTATTATTGAAAAGCCAATTTTTATACATCAGGACAAGGTCTCGAATAATTTTGAACCGGCCCTGTATATATTATACAATTTACTGTAAGTAGCTGAACTATAATTACCCATACGTTGGTAAATAAATTGTTTTGCTTTTGTGGACGGGAAACTATTTGTTGGTCAAAAATATTCTACTCTTCAAACGGATTGTTTTGGAGCATCTACAATAACTATTGCAACCTCTATTGTTTATATCATTATATGATCTTTCATCGCTCTATATTTATGTTTTTATTTAGAAAAAATTGGGATCATCTTTGCTATAATATCTTTCAGGGACCTGATTTTAAGCAACATGTGAGTTTTGACGCATTTGTTGAGAAAGAGAGTTTTATACATGATGTATGTGGGAGTATGAAGCCTAACGTATGTTTCTGGCAAGCGCAAGACGATGGAATATGGGTACGTAATAATCCAACCGGTGATCTCAAGATCTCTTTACCAAGGCATTACCAACATCGACATTGAGGAAGCTCACGCATCAAATTGGAATGCGGAGACTTAAGGACTTGCAGGGATGACCAAAACAGGGGGAGTAATACGTGCTGTACTCTTTTTCCTTAACCATGGTTTTGTCCCAATGGGTTTTCCTGGTAAGGTTTTAATGAGGCAGCATCCCCAAGCGTATTACTGAGATCCTTTGGCATCTACACGGTTATGTCATCCAAGGGGGAGTGTTATAAACCACATGTTGGATGGACTCCATAACCGTGGACCTTATGCATATTCTAGAAGGCCCATGTCCATGTCCTAGAAGGCCCATGCCCATGTTCTTGAAGATTCTCCTTATGACGGCCTATATTGTACTTAGTGGGCTTTTGGGCTTTAGGGTTTACTAGCCCAATGGGGATTTGTCTCCCCTCATCATGTATATATATGTATCGAAATCTCATTCATTAATCAATAGAACAACACAGTTTACAACATAATAATTAATTTAAAGATAGTAATGGTAATGAAATCAAAATTAAAGAATTAATATTACATTAATTTCAAAATTAAATATTATTTATTTTTATTTTTTTGTCAACCACACATTAATTAAAAAGTAACTCCATGATTGGTTGCCCAATCAGGAGGAGAAGAGTTTACAAAAGTAGCTTCCGAGAGTAGAAGTCTAGAAGATCGAGCTAAACAATCCGCCTTAGAATTACATATACGAGAAATATAAGAAAGCGAGAAAAAGGGAAAAGAAGCAATAAAACCGGTAATTGAGGCATGTGATACTTCTATTTTGATAGAAGAGTGATCACACTAACCGAAATTTTATGTAGTCGATGTTTGCATAATGTAGTGCTTAATTAGGTAGTAGACATTTAGCGGTAAATTACTCATATATATGTTTTTTTTGGACAAACGTGGGTTTCGCCCTAGTATATATAAAAGTTGATCAACTTTCTCCATATGAATGACACATCATCACACAAGAAAATGACATGTATCATTCAACATTATTTAAATTAAAAATCAGCAAAATTAATTGAAAGAAAATCAAAAGTCTCATATTGTGTTAAATCCTCCAATAATCCATTTCTTAAATGATTTCTTCAAAATAAAAATAAAAGTATAAAATTATTTTAATAAATCAATTACTACTTTTATTTTACTTTTATTATTTTTCTAAATTTAGTAGTCAATGGTCATCACTCGATAACGACTAAATAATTATTTGTGTTGTAGTTTAGTTATTTGCTACCTAATATCTTATTAGTTTAGTAATTTTACCTTGAATATTTTTTTATTATTACGTTATGTTTCATATCTTATCATATGACATTCTCTCTTTTCATTTTTGTATCTTATTTGTAAGATCGTAACATTGACATGCAAAATTTTACAAGTAATAGGCTTTTGAGACGTTAGACATACCACGAAATTCAAGACAAATCCATTTCTCTTATATGGCTATATGCAATAGCATAAAATCTAAAAGTGTTACTTAAATAACTCTTTAATTTTTGCTTTCTTTTTCTTCTTTTCATACGAAAACTCTTGCGATCAAAATATCTTATATTCTTGTTGTCTGTATTCATGATAATGAACAAATACTAGAATCTTAGATATAAAAATAATTATATTATATATGAAAATGTATAATTTGATATTTAGAGTCAAAAACGAATCTAACAATAAAAATTGTAAGTACAAAAGATGAGTCTAATTTTATTAAGTATACAATAACAAACAAAAAATAAACACAAATTAGCAACAAAAACAATTAACATATTTTGATCTTAATAATTTTCAAAACAAACCCACGCGTAACGTGGGAATTCATCTAGTACTTTTATAATCAAAACTCAATATTCCGATTAAGGAATACCGATAAATTTATGAAATCCGTCGCTACTTTGTTGTACAGACGGTTGTACTATTTGAAGATCTTGTAACATCAAAATACTGAATTTAAAGGTTTTACATCAAAATTTAGAGTAAGATTAAGTCACCTAAAGATTCAAATATAACAAATGTTTAGAGAATTCAACTATATATATATATATATATATATATATATATGTAAAAATTACTCAGAATGACCCATATCTTATGTTAAATAACTAGGTTGACTCTGTTTTGAAAGGGATAACTAGAATGACCTACATGTGAAAAGACATTCTAGCCAGTTTTAAGTTTATATTAACCAAATTGCCATTTTGCTTTAATTTTGAAAATATTTTTTTTGGTTTTTTATTATTTACCAAATGAAAAACCTAAAACCTTTTGAGATTCTCTCTCATTTTTTCTCCATCGTCGAGCCACAAAATTCCAGAGAGAAAAATTCTCTCGCCTTCTTCTCCTGTGAGTTCTTCGACGCAGCTTCTCCGGCGAATGCTTAGACGCTGCTTCTCACGGAGTTGTTTTCTCCAGAGCACCTGTCTAAAAACAAAACCTAAATTCTCAACTCTTCTTCTCCAGATTTCGCCGCCACCATATGTGGTTCGTCTTCTCCTCTCTGCCACCAACTTTCCTCGGTCGAGTCGTCTTCTCTTCTTCGTCACAAACTGTCATCGGCCGCATCGTCTTCTCCTTTTTGCTACCAACTGGTTTGGCGGTTTTTGATGGTGGTTCTCTGCAAGGCGATTATATGACAACAACAACGAATTTGGAGAAGAAGAAGGCGGCAGCGACAATGGTGTAAAACAATTTTAAACCCTAATCACTTTTTGTGGTAAATGAATTTGCAGGTTTAGATTTGATAAGTTGTAGGTTTCTTGTTCTAAGTTTCAGGTTTTGTTAGATAATTAGCTTAAGTTTGTAAAATGTTTGCATGTTTTTATATAAGAAACTTAGCTTAGGTTGAGGTTTGAGAGTTAGCTCATCGCAGTTTTTGTTGTTGTTTGATGACATATTTATTGGTTTGTGTTCGCAGTTTTATCTGTTTCTTCGCAAATTTTTTATAAGTGTTTGCAGATTTATTTGTTGCTCATCGCAGATTTGTTTGTTGGTTGTATAACTTATTTTATTTTGATGGCAGATTTATCTGTTAGTCATCAAAGCACAAGATTCAGATTGACAAGCACAAGATTCAGGTTGGAGAGCTCAATATCGAAGTTAAATTATACGAGAAAGAGATACAAGAGCTAGGAAATTTCAAAAACATGGTTGTGTGCGCTTTTCGTCATGATCGTGATTTATTATTTCATCATTACGTAAGAGTTTGTATGAGCTTATGTTGTGATTAATTTTGTAATGGCCTACGAAAAGAAAAGAATATGGTCCATTAAGTAACTTAAGCCAATATCTCTTAACGGGGTCTTGTTTTGGTTTAATTCAATGTAATTAAATTCTGGATGAAAAAGGTATAAATATGTTGTAATGTGTAATGGAGAAAGATACGAGAGTTAAGAAGAAAAAAGGTTAAGTGGCTAAACCTAAAATTGAACAAAAATGCTAGTAAAAAGTAAGTACAAAGCAATTAACAATTTAAAGCTTTAGGCGTGTAAATGTATATTACAAGTCAACATTCGTTTTTGGTAAAAGAAACTGGGTTAGATCCACTCTAACGTAGAGAGCCTTAACCCCATGTCTTCAAATGATCCAAAAGTCAATTCAATAAACTTATCTAAATGGTTAAATAATATAACCAAAACATATATACAAAAATATAGAGCTCTTGACTTTGTAGTATTTTACATTTATATTACATTTATATCAAGAGCTCATGACTTTGTAGTATATTATTGTAAAAAAAGTTATGTTATTACAGACTTATTATTATGTTACTGCAGATTTATCATTATGTTACTACAAATTTACCTAAATCGAAACTTTAGAAGATAAGGTGAAAATTCGGTCAATTATCGATGAGTCAAACCCTAAATCGGACGGTCTAAAAATCTCTATCGTAGATACTAGTAAACAAATCGGCGGCGTCTTCAAATAAGTTTGTGGATATAAATCTGCAAACAAAGAGTATCAACAAATCTGTAAGATATAAGTTTGTGACTACTAAAAAGTTAGATTAGTCATGATTAAGCCTGCGACCACTTCATCAAATAAATCTGCGATGATGGAAAATAATTTTGTGATACAGAATATATCTGCCATCAAAGAGCAAAAATCGGTGACCACTAAGAGTCAATCTAGTAATTATCTTTTGGTCAATAAAATCTGCAGTAACTTATAGACTTAGCATAAGTCGGTAGTAACTATTAATAAGTCTGCTGCAACGAGATTGAGAAAAAATCTGTAAGAAAAATAAATTTGTAGAAAAAAATCCGCGAGACAAAGAAAATCTGCGGTGTCATCAAAAAAATCTGTAAGATAAATCTGTGGTAGACTTAAAATCTGTGACATCCTATAAATCGGTAGTAACATATGAACAAATCTGTAGATTAAATCTGTGGTGGAAATAAATCTGTAGAAAAAATCTGTGGTTCAAAAACAAATCTGCAAGAAATCAAGTCAGCGATAACTATACCATTAAATTTGTGACAGATTTATAAATCGGTGGCAGATTTATAAAATCGGTGGCAGATTTATCAAACCTGTGGCATATTTGTTCTACAAATTTATTTGAATTCGCAAAGATCAGTGGCAAAGTTGTAAATAACGATAGGTTTTTTTGTAAATAACGGCAACTTTTGCCTCGCTGGCTTTTTTTTTTAATGGCATTTTTGTTATTATGATTTTCGGTACAAAGCTTTAGAAGTATATTTTAGGGATTAAAAAAAAACGAAAACACTTTAGTTATTATTAAAAGATGTAAGTTATTCTAGTTATTAATCTCCATATATAGGTCATTCTAGTTATTCTCCCTATATATATATATATCAATCACAAAGATAACAATCCCTTGATTTGAAAGTAAAGAAAAGAAGCTCAATTACGAGGACGAGTGTTCTCTGGAGTCCCACCAACGCCTGACATAAGTACATAACTTTAGCGACATCACCTGCTGAAGCTTCAGGCTTCTTCTTGCTAGCTATACAAAACCATGTAGCCAAGTCCACCGATTATCACTACATGAAGCTTCAGGCTTCGTTGTCTCTTAATCACTACTTGCATTGCATGTGATACTCCACGCTGTGTATAATAATATTACCTTATCCTCATTCTTTAAAACTCATTTTTCTAAAAATTTGTCTTTTTTTGTTCTCTTGCATTCATGTTGTTATGTTTCTTTTCTAGATAAAAATCTTATAAAAAATGCCAGCAATATAGCAAATATTTGAACTGAATATCTTCTGGATACACATATACAAATTATAATATGTACAAGATCTTATCATAATACAAGAAATATATATGTATGAATACATAAGGACAAATAGTTAATATTAGGGCTGGGCAAAATATCCGTTAGATTCGCTTCGATCCGTTATCGAGTCGATTTAATTTGAAAAATCTAGATATCCGTAACTTTACGAAGCAAATCAAATATTAAAAATAGGTATTCGTCAAAAGCGAAGCAAATATCAAATACTATAATTTATATAGCCGGATATCCGCTCCGCTCCAGAATACATACATATATATAGATAATTACATATATAAATTATAATTTTATTATTCTTGTATGTGTTTTATAATTTTCTAATCACCGAATTAATTATTTGAACTACTAGTTTGACTGTTTGAACAATTAAAAGAGAAATATATATTTCTGATAAAATATTACTATTTTTAATAAAATTTTACTATTTTTGGATTAATTTATTTATTTATTTTTAAACAAATAGTTAACGGATCGAATATCCGGCAAATAGTTTGGATTTTAACGAATATTCGAACAGCCGGATATCCGGTCACTAACGAAGTAAATACGAATCGAAAAACTTAGTATTCGGAAAAAGCGAATCGAATCACAAATACCACCAAAATCCCGAATATCCGGTCCGTGCCCACCCAAAGAGCCCAACCGGGAACGAACCGATGACCTCTCGAACTGCTATGAGCTCTTTTGTTGTTTTTTTTTTTTTTGAATTGAGAATTGAGAGCTCTTTTGTTCGTTAATCATTATTTAATTAATTTTTAATCAAAGTATAATCGTTAATGGACTTTACATGTTTGGGGTTTGGGCTGGTTATTTTACGTATATGTTAACTTTTATTGAATCTATTACACATTTTTTATATATCTGTTTTGACCTGAAACTATTACGCATTTTTTTTGCGGTAAAAAAAAAATAGATGTGAAATCATTTGCTAATCAATCACAGTGATATAAACAGTCACTATCACTGTGAAATCATTTGGCTTACATAGATTATGTCCTCTCTATATTAAAAGAGAGTCATTTTTGATTAACTTATAAACCCTATTTTTTATATTGTATATGGTAATAATTTGACAAGTAAATAAATACTTAAAACTATAAGTTTCCTTAATAAAACTAACTCATTAATATAATTGACTCTGTGAACAAATGTTAAAAGAAAAAAAAAAACTATTTGTACATTAGATATGCTATAGTTTCAAAACGAAAGATTTGTTAAAAATCAAAAATAGTTGACAAAAGAAAGGATTACAAAGTAAATTAAAATATCTAAATGTGTTAAAGAATATTTTGCAAGTAAATTAATTCAAGATATGTTTGTATGTTTTCATTAAATAAATGATAAATGATTTTCTAAAGAAACATATATTAAAAATAAATGATAGGATATCATTGACCATATAAGAGAGAAGAAAACTAATGAAATTAAATATATCAACAAATGTGACATATGTATATATATCTAAGTCATGTAAAAGACAAAAACATATAGAAAGAAAAAAACAATGATAGGAAAAATTATAATATATTGCCTCTTGTTCGCCTTTTCAATCCAAAGAACAGACTCTATTCTTGTATTTAGACGTTTTAACATTGAAATTTCAAATCATCTTGAGGGTAACAAACAACTTATGGTCCAATGTAGATCTGGTGAGCAATCGACCAAGGTTGTTTTTCTTGCATTCAGTGGTGTGTTCAAAGTTCGTATAATACTTGATTTTAAGACATTGGTATGGTGCAACTTATGGAAGGTAATTTAAAAAAGAAAAAAAAAAAAACTAGTTCTTTCACGTTCTTAAATCTGAATGTATATATTTACAATAAATTTGTTATCTTGTCCATTACGAATAGTTTTGTTTTGTCTTGTTTTTTACTAAAATATGATTATACTAATCTCATATATATTGGATAAAAACACAAGTACATTCATTTACAAAATCTGAATTTTCTTATCGTTCTATAGTTATATCACGAAGATAAATAATTTTAGATAGGATTTAAATAGTTACATATATATATATATATATATATTATACAATTTACGGTAAGTAACTGAACTATATTTACTCATACGTTGGTAAATAAATTGTTTTGCTTTTGTGGATGAGAAACAATTTGTTGGTCAAAAATCAAAATGATCTACAATAACTATTGAAACCTCTATTTTTAATATGATCTTTCATCGCTCTATATTTATGTTTTTATTTGGAAAAAAATGGGATCATCTTTGCTATAATATCTTTCAGGGACCTGATTTCAAGCAACATGTGAGTTTTGACGCATTTGTTGGGAAAGAGAGTTTTATACATGATGTATGTGGGAGTATGAAGCCTAACGTATGTTTCTGGCAAGCGCAAGACGATGGAATATGGGTACGTAATAATCCAACCGGTGATCTCAAGTTAATGTATAAATGGAATACATAAACAAACCAAATATTAGCTCTTTCATTTGTCTTTGTTAAAAATATTGTTACTTCTTTTTCTGAGATCTCATAAAACAGATCACTTTTAAAACTTTTCTCCTATTATGACTAACACCAAATTATATAGTTTCGTATGAAAAGCTAAATTTTCAATATGGAAACAGAGTTAATATATATATGGATTAAATAATCTGTTTATAACCAATAATAATTAATTTAAAGATAGTAATGGTAATGAAATCAAAATTAAAGAATTAATATTACATTAATTTCAAAATTAAATATTATTTATTTTTATTTTTTTGTCAACCACACATTAATTAAAAAGTAACTCCATGATTGGTTGCCCAATCAGGAGGAGAATAGTTTACAAAAGTAGCTTCCGAGAGTAGAAGTCTAGAAGATCGAGCTAAACAATCCGCCTTAGAATTACATATACGAGAAATATAAGAAAGCGAGAAAAAGGGAAAAGAAGCACGGAGCAATACATAAAATTAAATATTATTATAAGATTAAAAAGCATATATTTGGAGTCATGGTCCAATAAAAGTACCTCCCATGTGCAACTTCGGACCACCCGCTTTCAAACTCGGCCCCTACGAGCCCGAAGAGATTTACCCGAGACGGGAAGCTTGCTTCGTCGGCTCGTGTCTCTTTGCTAGTAACTCCATCTCTTTCTTCTTACTCTAAATTTACGTATGAACCACCTTTTCTGTAATTTTTTCACAAGTAAGACTCTATTTCCTATATTAAAAAGCATATATTTAGAGTAAATTTCATGAATATAAATGACTAAGTGAAAAAATGTTAAGACCAACTATGTATACATTTTAGACATACTTGTTTCAAAAAAAAAATTATAAAAGCAAAAATAGTTGAGAAAAGAAAAAACAAATTACAGAATAAATTAAAAAAATTTAATGTATGAAAGAAAATTTGTAAGTAAATTCATGCAAGATTTGTTGGTTTGTTTCCATTCTTTTTAAAAAATGTTCATTAGAACCCAATTGAAATGATTCACCTAACCAACAAAAATAAAATAAAATATAATAATTTTAAAGAAGGTAATAGTTTTATAATTTACTTCTAAGATGTCAAAACTCAATATTCCGTGGAGGAATACCGAAAAATTTATGAAATCCATCGCTACATTGTTGTACAGACGGTTGTACTATTTGAAGATTTTGTAATTCAAATCACTGAATTTAAAGGTTGTACATTAAAATTTAGAGTAAGATTAAGTCACCTAAAGATTCAAATATAACAAATGTTTAGAGAATTCAACTATATAGTCTATATATATCAATCACAAAGATAACGATCCCTTGATTTGAAAGTAAAAAAAAAAAATTATATAGAAGAAGCTCAGTTACGAGGACGAGTGTTCTCTGGAGTCCCACCAACGCCTGACATAACTTTAGCGACATCACCTGCTGAAGCTTCAGGCTTCTTCTTGCTGTACAAAACCATGTAGCCAAGTCCACCGATTATCACCGCTCCAACCGCTGCTGCTCTCAACGGACATATCCCTAACGACTTCCGCTGGCCTAGCACTTCACTTGACTGCTTCGCCGCTTGTCCCGGTCCAGCCATTTACCTTCCTTTTCTATGTATACTTTGTGTGTCTTTCTATTAAAGTAAATTTATCTCTCTCTCTCAAGCTAACTTCTTCAACTACTTTTGTGTTGTTGAAATTTTGGAATATTTGTAGAAGAGATTTGTGGTTATTATGGTTAACCCGCACTCGTAGGACATGCTAAAGACTAGCTCCTTCGCTACATCTTTATTCTAGCTTTATCTATATTTAGCTTCATAATAAAATATGTAAATGTCTTAGAAATTTAGCATCGTACATTAAGAGAATTTCGTGGAAACTAATTATTTGTGTTATGAATTACTACTTTATTATTTAGTAGTTAACTTGGACGCAAGTTGCAACATAAACCAATCAATTTCCTTACTAATTTCTGCTTATGCATTAAAACTACATACATATTCCACGGTACATACTTACTAGTTTTGATTTTAACACAGCTTAGAGTGAAAAACTCTATTTTCGAAAAAATCTGGAGTTCATGAAGCGACTTGAGGTAAAATGATAAAAAACGATTTACCTAATTATGTAAATGATATAGTCAGGGGGCGGTTTAGATTCCGAGGTCAAAACTCGGAGGATCACTCATTAAGCAACCTCTTGTGCTGGCCGATGAGGCTTCTTTCATCATTACTTGTTCCGTAGATGCTTCTGCAACTCATATAAGCAAAAGAAGAGTTGTTTGTAGTAATGAGTTTCTTTTAGATTTCAACAATAAAATCAGATTTAACCAAAATAACTATAACTACAGTTTTGTATACTGAATGGCTAACTATTTATACTTAGATTCAACTAAGCGTTACAAGTCTAAAATGTTAAAATTCTGGAGTTACCTTTCGTTGAAACAGACTCCATTTTGTGTCTTTTGCTGGTTTCAGATTCTGGAGGTACTTTTGTTAAAGACACTGATGTTTGCGGGTTATTATCAGAACATGTCTCTGTAACATTCCGTCTCTGAAGAATGGAGAGTATCTGATTTACTGCAACGAAAAGAAAAGACTTGGTTAATGTATGTTCTCATGAATTGGTATTATAAAAAACCACTTGAAGAAAACACAACCGTTTAAATGTTAATTTGACCCACCATCACGTAAAGGCTTGTGTGGAGGAATGTCCTTCCTTAACTTATCATTCTCTAACCTTGAATCTGCACTGGACGTTCCTGCACATTCACACAGTACTATTTTAAGGAGGACAGGATTTGTCAGAATAACCTATTGCCATATAAAACAGTAGAATGACTGGAATACTTCTAATGTTGAGGAATGTGGCTTTACAAACTTGAGTTCTACGATTCAAATCTAATCTAGTAATCTGCTTGGGATTAAAAAAACTCTACATCTTAGACAAGGAAGAAAAGATGGTTTGCAAATACTGTAACCTAGCTGAGAAAACGCTTCAATTACCACCATTATGGAAGAAAAAAAGATGTGGTGGGTAAATTTCCCATATCTTACCAGTGCACGGAGAGTGGATCAAGGGGTGGTTATTGCTTTCTTTATCAACTGAGCCAAGAGGCACAGTACCTGCATACATGCTGTTAGTCATAGCATGCACAAAACCAATAAGTATACATGTACATTCTGAATTTCTATTTCGCAGGTTAGTTTTCATGAATAAGACAGAGCCAAACACACACAAAAAAAAAAGAGTACTATACCCCTAACATGAACTTTGTTAAGCACATTTGTGAAAAATCTTTTTCTCCATCCTAATGAGATTATTAATAATACAAGCTTTCTACGAACTCCAGAAGATCCTTGAGATTTAAGTGTCAATCTAATTCAACAAGCAGGTACATGATGAAAACGATATTAATGTACTGAATACAGGAATGATATACATAACATGGTTCATCCATCAGCGAGATTTTTACCAAAACCTAACAATCAGATGGATGAAGCATCAATTTTGAATTTAGCAAAGTGCCAAAGGTCAGCTATGGAAAAAAAGACATTCTGCTTTCACTATCTCCAATAGCTAACTACATAAACATATCAAAGCAAGCATCAAACCTTTTGTTGTTGACTTCATAGTGTCTGGAGTCAGTGCCCCATACTTGTGCAATTCTCTCTTTTTGAATACTGAAAGTGTAGACGGAAAACATTACTAGCCTGCAGTGCACGATTTCACTCTCCACGGGAATTAGATTAATAGGCATTAAAAGTTCTTGCTACGAGTAGATGAGCGAGTTACAGTTCATCATTACAAAGGTACTAACTCAACTAAAACTCACCTCTAATCATATTGTGAGATGGGCTGAGACTTTTTGAAGAAAATGTATTCACAAGGTTAGGTTTTTTCTCATCTGCCAGAATAAAAAGGGACATAAGTAGAACAGTCTTTTCAAGAGGAAACATTCCTGCGAAAATTGTACGAGTTGGGATAACAGAACATCATACCACACTGAAGAGAACTTTTCTTGAAATTTGGCCTGAGAACTGCAAATGGTTTGCGCGCACACCCTTGATCACTCGGTTGGACCTTTGGATCAGATGAAGCTTTACTTCCGTCCTTAGGATCACATATATCCACAAGATATGCTTGAAATGTGAGTGTTTCACCTGTGTCCACAACTTCATCTGCCTTTAGTATTCTGCTCTCGAGTAGATTATTGGCCTTATCATAAAGCATCACCTGTTTACACATTCACAAGGTTAGCTCTAAAACCTACTAAACAAATGAGCATAAGAGAAACATATATTCACCAAACTTATCTATCGAATTTGATTTTCAGAATTTCTTCTTGAAAATCTTACAGAATCCAAAATCCAAATGTAACAAGCTCATATTCGATAACCAATCAAATTTTGGAAACAAAATCAAAGCATAACTTGAGTTAAATCTGGAGCTGTGTATCATTTTATATACTAATCAACAATTACAAGTTAAAACACAATCCAATTAACCTCAAATCAATCTCGGAATCGATAAAGATTAGTGAAAATCACCAAGATTTCTCCACCAAAATCAAACAAGAAAAAATCGCCGATCAAACTGAAACTATGACAGATCTTCGAAATCGGAAAACGAAGATTGAATTCAGAGTAAACTACGAAGAACATTCCACCAAATCCAGATAATCTAGTGGATTTTATACGAAGAATCGGAAGCGATGAGTGAAGAAAAACCTTTTTTCTGGCGATATGCAAATCAAGGAAGCCATCGTGATAGACCTTTCGCTTCTGCTTGAGGTGCTTCGTATACATCGCAATCCATCTCTGCTTCTCCGCCATTTCTTCTTCTTCTTCTTCCTCGGAGAAGAGAATCGCTTTTTCCGTGTTTGATTTCAAAATTTGAGTGTGGAGTGAGTGAGTGACGTTGACTAATGACGACGATCGGTTTATTTTAATTTGACCCCGCATAATCTTAAACGTTTTAACATTACAGCCAATACTTTAAAAAAAGTCTATTGCTCCCAGAAATAACACACATTGGAAACTTTTTTTTTTTTTTTTTTTTTTCACATTGGAAACTTACTTTACGAAGTTTGACATTGGAAAATGAAATAATGAAAATTTCCATTATATTCATATTGGAGTATGTGTAGCCATAGATTAAACCATGTAGTCTTTGTTATAGATGCTGCTGATTTGGTGGGTGCGATTTTGAGGCCAAATGCGTGGCCCTCTTTTAGATATCATGCGGAAGAGCTATGGAGAGCTTTGAGGTTGGTTAAGTTCTGGAGATTAATGGTGGAAGGATCAGCTGCAAACAGAGGAGCTTCATCTCATTGCGAAAAGTGTTACTGAGGAATGTCGTCTTCAATCTTATGTAGCGACAAGCCATCCGTACTTGTTAAACTCCCTTTTTGAGAGAGTGTAATCCTCTGCTCTTTGCTTTTTGTATTGATTCCTTGTAATTGCTCTGTCTATGAGGGTATTCTTTTGTAAAGGCCTTATATCTTAAAGGTGCCTAAATCTCGTTAGTACTGCAGTGGTTTTGCTACTCTGTTTCAAACTTCCTCTGTATTTGTAAAGTTTCTTTATCCTTCTGGATTAATATATTTCAACAGATGACAAAAAAAAAAATTCATATTGGAGTAATGATGGAAAAAATCTGATAATCAGAAGATGGATAATACAGTATGAGAAAACCAAATCAAACAATGTTAGGTTACTCGTTGGAATTCGCGATTTTCACAGTTCAATATAATATATGTACATTGGTTTGCTTTTTCATAATCCTTTTTTTTGTTTTTTTTTTACTTTTTTTTTTTCGTCTTTTGTTTTTTTTTACTTTGAATACTCCACCTCACATTTTCTCTCTTCCACATAATCATTCAACATATATTTAATTTTTAATATCTACAATAGCTTGTTTAATAAATTCAACACCCTACCCCACTATTTTTTTTATCTCATATTCTTATTTATATTTTTTTGTTACATATTAATAACCCTTATCAGTAAAATTAAATTAAAATAATTAAAGTTAAATAAATTTAAAAAATAGTTTTATCTTTTATTTTATAATCTTTTTGTTGAAATCTATTTTCTAACATAGATGTTTAAGAGTTTAAACTTGAAGAGATAACATCATTCAAGTAAACTTGAAGAGATAACATCATTCAAGTAAACTTGAAGAGATATTGTCTTGACAACCAGTGATGAGTGCTCCCACAGATATTGCCATCACCCAAGGGAATGAGATTGGATCATGAGTTAACAAACTGCGACATTGACATAAATTTATTTGAAGAGCATCTAGAGATATCTATTATTTGTTAGAATCTTTTTGATTCTGAGCGAGTACTAGGTCAGCAAATTGCGTTGAATAAGATCTACTTATGCTACGCATTGAAAGGAGGAGAAATTGAAGTTCTGAGTAGAAATAATCTCGGATTGAGAGCTTTGTTGACATGCCATTTTCAGGTTGGTTTGTCATCTCTTATGCTTACTAAAATATTATTTTCTAACTGCCTTTGCTTACTGAAATATTCTATTTTGAACTACCTTCATTTGTATTCTTAGAGTGAAAGACATGGCCTTCTTTGGCAAGGATTAATGTTTCTCTTTTACACTAATTCAAATAAATGTTTTTTGGCAGAAAATTTTGGTTGTTTCAGTTGGTAGTAGTGTTTTTTAAATTGATATTACAAAAGATGGCAACAATGGAACAATCTTGCCCAGGGCACCTCTCTCATGCCCCCTTGATGAACTAATTGATGGTGTGCAGATTATGTGCAAATTATGGTTACACATTAATAGATAACCGACATGGCTTCTTCTTCACTTTATGGCATGGTGAATATATAGCAAGATGATAGGGAAGAACTCAACACAGACTTTAACTATCATAGTGGTGCAATATGGCCTGTCAAGTTTGTAAAGTTTCAAGACGACCGGAATACAACACCATTGTCACATAGAGACTTCTAAACCATGAAATAAAAACATGGATCTCAGATTGTGGAAATGAAGTAGTTGAAATTGTTTTTTTCAATAATTTCATGCTTATCTTCGATCTGAATATGCTAACTAGCAATTAGCAAATGCAAGATGTAAGGATGCATATGCAGTGCATTAATTTGAACTATGGATCTTCTCTAAATGAGGTAAGGATGGATTATTTGTCTAAGTTTAGCATCACTGAGCCTATATTGAGTTTTGTTGGGAGAAATGATTCTCTTGAAGACCACTTGGTGAAGCTCTACTGTGTTCATGCTAAAGCAATCAAGCAATGTTTTGATTTTAGACGAGTTGAGAGTTTGGAGAACACACAAGCTGGGTTAAGAAACGAATTGCAGACCACAAAAGCTTGGTCGAGGAACGGCTTGACATAGTTGTTGCAAGGTTGGACTCATGCAAAGATACTAGAAAGCAAGGTTACAACATCTGAAGATTCAGATGTGCCAAGCTAAGGCCAAGTTTCGCTCGAGTCTCTTGTTGATAGGTGGATCAGTACAAGATCTCACGGTAAAAAAAAATACTTTCAGTTTCTCATCAAACAGTATGACGCAGAATCGGTAAATCTCTTAATGTTCCTTTCTTTGTGTGATGTTGTTGCTTATCATGTCAGCTCTCAGCCATTCAAAGAAATATAGCTTCCAATCTACATGGAAAGCACCACCTGGTGAATGCTCTAAGCAAAGAGGAAACTAGCGACTTGTGCCAGTGGATTGATCTCAAACATGTTTATGTGGGAAGTCTGTCAGTTGGGTCTTGGTCCAATTGGTTTACCAAGTAGTCAGCAATGCAAGCGGCCTGATTACCCCTTAACACTAGTTGGAAGGCACTCTAAACTTGGGACATGCAGTGTGGTGGTCCAAATTGGATCTCATGATCTCATGGTCCGTTCGACCTAAGTCTGCTAGGAGCTCATAATATCCGTTGAATCGTAGAATCGTTGAATTAAAGGAATAATCATTTCTATAGCACTTCGGTGCGTTCTTACCGGAACCGACCGAATCAGCCGATAGGATATAAAAAAAAAAAAAAAAACTAACAGATGAAGATATTAATAGTGGTCCTTATACGAAGATTTATAGAGACTTTGCAGATGAAGATCAAGGGTATCTGCTGAATTACAACGATAACAATCTCGATCTAAATGATAATCGTGGTAAGAATAAAGGTCTTCAAGATTATCCTGTTCATACATGGAGGATGTACGATTATATTAATATAGATATATATTATGATGAAATGAAGATATGGTGCGAAACTAATGATTTAGGGATATATATATACTACAAGAAAACATGCGATTACCGACTACGGTCGGCGACTAATTGTGTAGTCGTTAATTTATACGACTAAAATACGACTACTCTGCGACTAATGTTACGACTACAAGTATATAGTCGTATAATAGTCGCTAATTAACGACTACATACTGTAGTCATTCAAATAGTCGTAATATAGCGACTATTATACGACTAACATATAAGACCCCGACTATAGTCGTATCGTAGTCGCTAAATAGGCGACTATTTTGAATGACTATTGAACGTAGTCGCTAAATAGGCGACTACTTTATGACTACATTGCATACGGAAAAAAGTAGTCACAAAAAAGTCGCTAATTTGGAGACTAATATGTGACTACAAAACATAGTCACCTTCTGGTGGTTTTGTAGTCACTATTTAGTCTCCATAACTGTTTAAATAATCAAATTTCACCATTTTTTTCTAAAACCTAAATACAAAACTTTAAATCTCAAAATTCAAAAAAATTATCTAGTTACAATAATATATCCATAAACTGAAAACTATCACTTATAAAAAATTATAGTTTTCCAAATCTTATTTTTTAATCAAAACTTAACCCCAAATCTTAAACTTAAACCCCAAACCCTATACTTCAAACCCTAAACTTAACCTCCAAACCCTAAAGTTTAAATTTTAAACTCTTCTAATGCATTATGCATATATATAAATTATATCACAAACCATTCAACCAAAATATAACCACTATATATGTATAAAAACATTTTTATTTAAAAAGTGTTTGATTTGATTCTTTTAATTATATATTATATATATATATATTATTTTATTTTCAAAACTGGAATCATACACTTAAAAAAATATATAAAATTTCAGATTTATAAATCTAAATTCTTTGACATCTATATCAAATCTAATAATTTAGTATTAAAATTAAATTTATGAACTGATGTATTAAAATTAAATTCCAAATCGGTTGCATTTCAACCCATAGTTTATTAAATTAATTTTGGAAGACTTAAAATCTGGATTTAAAATTAGGAGAAATAGAAATTTGAGTCTTATTGGGGGGAAACGAAATTTGAGTCGGGGAGAAATGAAATTTGGGCCTAAAATTCTTCAAAGCCTTTACTCTTTTATTTTTGTGACGAAGTCTTTCTCGGTTTTTCCCTTATCTCCTCTAACCTAATACCCTCGCATCCACAGCTCGTCAGCTCGCCTCCACCACAAATGAACGCCGTTTTGCCTCTCCGGCGTCCGGTGCCTTCGCCGGTGACGTGAGAGGGATCCTTTGTGTCACTGGTGTTATCTAATCCTGGTTGTCAGTGGTGGTCGTCAGAGATATAGAGTTCGTGATTTGAGATCTCAATTTGCGGCGTCTCGAGACAACTCCGTGGCTCATGTTGATGGCCTCCAATTTGTGGAGTTCGCGGCGCGAGGATCCACACGGTACAGCTGGAGAGGGATTCAATGGCTAATTGGGAAGTTGATTTGTCGGAGAATCTAGAAGAATACCTTCAAAATTATTACCGGAGAACTCACTGGAAATGAAGAAGATGGGCAGATTCCTGTGAATTCGCTGAAGGTTTGTGGTATTTTGCTTCGATTTTCAGAAATTTGTTTCTCGTTTGATTTCAACTTATTCAATTTTTTTAGGGTAATTGAGAATTGGGTTTCAAATTTTGTGTTGCTCTAAATCTGTAGATGTTTTACTGCTTCAGGGCTCGGTTCAAGTTTACTCCCAAGAAAGTTGAGTACTTGTATAATTTGGTTCTACGTACGTTGGAGTTTCTATCAAAGCAAATGTTTGTCTTTTTGAACTCCTTGTGTTTTTTGCTTAGGGAATATCTAAGCTAATTGAACTAGATAAAACATAATTACTTGTTTGTGAATATCCTAGCATCTCACTACAAGAAATATGTTCATCATTAGCGCGGAAAAGATGCTATCATACATATAACATAGCGAATTCATAAATGCTATGACATCGGCAGCTATGTTAGGTGTCACCCATACGATAGCATTTTTTGACATGCTATTATTGATCGTTCAATTATAGCGGTAATTTAATGCTTTAATATACTATATTATAGCACACGTTTAATGTTATTTTATATTATATTATAGCATTTTATATTTGAATATAAATTTCATTTGATTTATATATAATTATTATATTTGAATCCTGTTTTACAAAATAAATTAATTTAAATTTATAATATAATTTTTTTATTTCATAAATCATCAACATACATAACAGTATTATTACATTATACATTTTTTCATAACATAATACCAAGTTTTAAACAAAATAAAGCTAACATCATAAAAACAGACTTCAATCTTGTTTTCTCTATGTGTTTTGCCTTGCCGTTAGCATTCCTGTGCATAATCCCTCTATAGTCCTTGTCTTAAAATCAATGCTGCATCAAACGTCATAAAGATAACAAACTTAGAGAGACATCTAGAAGAAAAGAAAAAGAGAAAATCATACATATATCACAGTCTCTAATCACTTTACATGGTTAAAGAGATTCAAAACCCAATAGTTGTGATGAAGCTCGTGGTGAAAGAGCCATCAGAGAACCTTAACAACTTTTATAACACCTGCAACAAGCCTATCTTCTATTGGTTTCTCCTTTTACTCATGTACGTTTGTCGTTTGTCAATTAAATCCCATTAAAACGAGACCATAATTTTCCTCACCTGAGGCCAGACATAGCCACAAGGCCCGCAACATCTTACTTGAACTCTGGCCTAATTTTCCAAGCCTAATTCAACAATCCAGAAATATTATTCCATCTCATTAATTGTTAATATGAATCAACAAGTAAAAAAAGTAAAAGAAACTATCAAAATAGGCATTAGGTTCTGTAACATGATTATGAGCAGATGCCTGAACTTGTGTGCTTTAAGTACCTCCATACTCAAAATTAGAAGACATGTGCTATGGCTTGAGGTCTTTTCCTCTGTGAATTTTGGTCACCTTCGGAATCAAAGCAATTCGGAACATAAAAGAAATAAACAGAGAAGCATAGTTTTTTACCTGAGCAACTTCTTTATCCTTGTAGCATACTCCAGTGACTGTAACAACACCACTAACTTTGAGACAACGCGCCGGTAAGAAATCTGACTCTTTCTCCATTGGTTTCAGTAGTTCTGACCGGCAAAGCTCTTGGCTAAGTCTCCACTTAATTAATGTTAAAAATATAGCTTTACAGTTGTATTAAGTCCAACGATACGAAGAAAGTGACTGCCAATAATCAAAACAAAAAAAAAGATTAGAGAAATAGCTTACGTTATGTACATCCAAAAACAAAGACTTTCTTCCTATATAGCTTTATTCTTTCCTCCAATGCTTCCTGGCACACATATATTGGTAATCATAAACATCACTCTACTTAACATAAGAGAAACTTTATAGCAATTATTAGAGAACACCAAGTTACAGCAATTATTAGAGAACACCAAGTCACATTCTTTTATGTTCTTATCACCACACATTGTTGTATATTAAAATCAAGTCAAACTGAAACATATTACGGCTTAATAACAAAAGATGGAGCTCATGAACTTATGCTTTCTGTTATCAATTATAAAAACAAAAGAGGGTGGTCGACGGCTTCTGTAAGAGCCTCATAATTCGGAGAAGAACCAAGAGCAATGTACAAAGTCTCAAAAGAAAAACAAGAAAAAATGAAACTAAAGATTCACTTACAAATCCAAACCAGAAACTTATAAACCCTAATCAACAACAAAATTAACCCGAAATTTTGCTTAGATTAAAACGCCGAATCAGTAACACAATTTTCAACTAAGCCATCGAAATCGAAAATCTCCAGATTTAAGAAAATAAAAATAATGTGTAGAAGCGCAAGAGATAAAGAGACTTACATAATCCCCATATTTTAAATTTACATGAAGACTCATATGAGACCGAGAATTTATATCCTCCGACGATTCCGACTTCGCCGGAGCACCACGACCATGCCTCATATCTGTAGATGAAGATCTGAACGAATCATCGTTATCCCATCCACCATTACCAGAATCTCTACCACTGCCTTGAGACAACGGAGGGCTTCTTATCCATCCCAATTATCGAATGATAGGGTAGATCTGATATATTTGTATTTGAGGAAAGAGATCGAGGTTGGGGGAAGCTGGAGAGGTGAGATAGGCGCAAGCGATAACAGGTGGTGGGATTGAGGGAGGAGGAGAAGTCGGAGATATGGTCATCACGGCGGATTTAATCAGTAGATTATGAAGAAGAAGAAGAATTTGAAGAGGAAGAGAGCGAAGAGGTATCCACGGAGAAGTAGAATGAGAAAAGATAAGAAAATTTAGGTTTTGGTTGGTAATATGATTTTTTTTTTTTTTGTTAGGCGCTAAATGTAAAATTTTCGTTAAGTGTTGGTTGTCCAAAGTCTTAGCGTTTTTGAAATGTTATGATATAGTTAGCGTTTTTGAAATGCTATGGTATAGTAACCAAATTCCGAATCCCATTTTTAATAGCAATTACGAAAACCGTGCTATCGTCATGTGCTATCTATGTTCATATTTTTTGTAGTGTCTCAGTTTTAGGGGCTAACTTCGATTCATATTTCTCTATGTGTATGGGTTTTGTTTCGTGTTCACAGATGAAATGAATGTATACCATGGTTGCCACTGTTTATATCAGAGGAGTGATGTCATTTTTGTCCAACGCAGCCTAAGAGATGTTTCAGAAAAGTCCCAACACTTATTTGAGTTTAAGGTACAAGTTCACTTGCTCTCATATTTTGAACGTACATAGACTTTGGACAAAGTAAATTTGTTTATTGTCTTTGCTTCTTGTTATTGCTATACTACTATGGATGCCTGATTATTTTATACAGAGTCAAATGAGCTTCATGACCGAGTTGCTACCCCATGGATGAATGTTTGTGCTTTTTGATAATAAACTATAGATTTTTAGTTCTGCTTTAACATCAACAAAGTCTTTTTTTTTTGTGTTTAATATGAATGTAAGTATCATTAATCAACGGGTCATTAAGTTGCCAAAATGACGCTTGTGTCTTAAGAACTGTTTGACTTATCTCGCCAAGTTCTTTGCATTTTATATTTCAGCTCGTATTGATATAGTCTTTGATGCTTTCGTCTTATGTGTGTTTGTATTCTAGAGTTGGATAGTTAGACCTAGTTGGCGTGCTCTCTTAAGATGTTATGTCCTTGCCTTCTCATGTTGCGTTTCTTTTTTCAGGTAGAGGATCTCGACCAGACCAATAACTAGGAGGCAGTTTTTGGAGAAGAAAAGCATAAAAAAAAGTAAGACAAGGAAGAAGAGTTGAAATCAAAAGAGTTAATTAAGCCAAGTTCTTTCTTGAAGATTGTTATCTACTTGGTTTTAATTATGTTTTTAGGAGGATGATGTATTCTTATTTTTAACTATGTTTTTAGTTTTATTTTGTAATACATTTTTAAAAAAATATGGTTTCATAATAATTAAATATAATATTTTTATTTTTAATATCATTTGATTCCAAAAAACATTATTCATAATTTAAATATAGTTTAAAATAATTAATAACAATATAAATATTATTATTGAATTAATTTATATATATATATATATATATACATAAGCTGTATAAATACAATAATGTATAAATACATAAATACTATATAAATACGATCATAGTCGCAATATAGTCGTTAATTAGTCACTAAATTTGGCGACTACGCTACAACTATTCTTACGACTATGAATATTAGTCGTAAAGTAGTCGCTAATTGGCGACTATTTTTACGGCTATACATTTTAGCGACTCTCGATTTACGACTACATTATTTAGTCGCTATTTAGTCATAACTCACCATTTAACGACTATTTGGCGACTTTTAGTGCAGTCGCTAAAACCCAGTTTTCTTGTAGTATACATCCGAAATATTATAAGTCTGTTATTGCACGTCATCATGAGGAAGGAGGTATTAGCGTTATAGGTTTTGAAACAGCTGAAGGAGCGACTACTGCAGCTGCTAAAAAAGAAGAAGATGAAAATGAAGAAGCATCGGCGAAGATGATAAAACCAAATGCATAAGACGGCTCAACCCAAAGTACCAGCAAGACTAAGTCTCCTTTTCCCTTTTCTTAAAGCTTTGCAAATAATATTGTGGATTTATGTTCCTCTCTTTGAGGACAAACCCACGTTCCCTTTCTTTTGCTTTGTGCTTCCAAGTTTGTAGGAGTTGATACTCCAATATTATACATTGTAAACAAAAAAAATGAATAAAGACTTTTGGAGATTAGCTCCGGTAAGTTAACCACAATTGTATAGTTTACTGTATACTAGTATAAAGATTTTGTGCAAAAAAAACTTCAAAATTGCCAATTTTTGCAACTTTACCCTCCATCACTAAAAAAATGCAAAATAATTCTATGAAGTCCAAAATAATAAGCTATATAGCCCTTATTTATATATTGTAAACGTTTTCACGATCACATATATTTAATTTTTAAAATTATAAAAGTCGAGTTGAACTCCTCGTCTCGAGGACTTCGATTTAATATATTATTTATCAAAATTTTAAAAACTTGACAATAACGAAAAAATGGTTTATTGCCTATTATTTTAGACTTTTTTGGATTATTCTATATTTTTTGGAAGTGAAGGATAAAGTTGGAAAAATTGGTAATTTTGAGGGTTTTTTTTTTTGCACAAAACCCTAGTATAAATACTCAGTGTATCTATACACTGTTGTTTAATCAAATGAGAAATTGAAAATCTTAACATCCCCTTTTCTTATCTTCTCTTTCGTAATAAAGACAGATATGTTTGCTTGTTGAAAGAGTTGTTATTGTGTTCTTATTGCATCCCTTTTTGGTTTTGATCCAAAAAGTCATCATTAAAATACGTACATTTGATTCTTTGATTTTTTTTTTAGTCTCAATACATAGTTTTTTTTAAAAAAAAAAGTTTCAATACATAGTTTGATACGTGTTACCAAAGAAAGCTTATTCAAAACATTTCTTCTTCAACCCGATCCCACAAACCCAATTGGCGAACTTGTCATTGTGATTTGATTTTAAATCTATGCCTCTTGATCTTGTCATTGTGATTTTATTTCAAGTTTGTTTTCTTATAAGACAAGGAATAAAGCTCTGAATAAATGAAAAGCATGTCGTGTCTCCTTCACTATTGGTTGGTCCCTTGACTGTTTTTATCTCTCACTCTCACTGGATTCACATGAGGTTTTTGCATACTTGTAGTTGCTTAACATGTTAGTCTAAATGGTATAACATATTTTTTATAACTCCAATTTTTTATACGTACTTATCACTAATTCTTCTTTACAAATCCGTCTTTATTAGCTACTAATTTGTCACCGTTCTACAATAAATTATTGTATATATCACATGCAAATCCATTTTATATACTTACTATTTTGCTAACTCAAATTTTTCACGAATCTTGACTAAAACCAATAAATACATTGGGCCGGTAATAAAAATATATTGGGCCGCTAAAAAAATTTATAATTTAAACATGTCTGTTTTCGTAGCAGCCACTCTAAGAAAACTAGTAAATGGCGGAGGAGGACCGAGACGGCGCAACCGCCGGTGTAAGAAGCCCTAACCACCGAGATTTAATCAGCACTCTGCCTGATGTGATCCTCCAAACAATACTCTCCTCTCTTCCAACAAAATTCGCCATCCGTACTTCCATCTTATCAAAACAATGGAGGCATGTATGGTGCAATACACCATCTCTCAACTTCGAATGGTGTGGGAGTTACCTGGGGGCTGATCCGATAAACGAAACCTTAGCTCACTACAAGGCTCAAAAGATGATGAGTTTCCACCTCTGTCTCACCGCTATTAAAAACACTCCTTACATTGAAAGTTGGATCGAATTCGTCAAGTCCCGTAACGTTGAGAATATGACGATTGATTTAGGTTCACGTGCTTCTTCTGATTATACAATACCTGATTCCTTCTACATCAATTCATATGTCAAACAACTTACCCTTCGTTTAGCGTTTCATGATCGGATGATTCCCCGTGGCTCCGTATGTTGGACATCCCTCAAGGTGCTCGTCTTGCGTAACTGCAACCTCTTTGACGGATCTACTATACCTAAGATTCTATCTGGTTGTCCGGTTCTCGAAAGCTTAACGCTGTATATGTGCCGTTGCTATAACCTCAAGGTTCTTGATCTCAGCAAATCCCTGCGTTTGACTACATTAGAAATCGCTAACAACTGTTGGGTTTCGGGGCAAATACATATTGTAGCACCACATATCCATAATCTCACTTTGACCGTCCCTCCTTACTGGCCATGTAATTTAGTTGATGTGTCGTCTCTAACGGAAGCTAGACTAGACATTGGATTTAACTCACAAGAAGCATTTGATGCTGATTTTCTTCAACAGTTTGTTCAAAACATCATAGAGAAGCTGCGGAATGTAGATAAGCTTACTTTTGGGGAAAAATTTATCAAGGTATGTCAAAGCGGTACAGAGTTACCAATCAAATTCAGTATATAGATAAATTTATAACATATCATGGTCTCGACATTATTAATTTATAGAGGTTTTACTGTATATACCAATGATCGATGATTCTTCTCTTGCTTTCGTTCTAGTTAGGTCTGTGTTGTGGTGTTTCTTTACATATGTTTGTGCTTTTTTTTTTGTTAGATTTTGTCTCTTGTCGAGCTTCGTTGTCTTCCTCTTCCGTTGTTCAAATTCAAAGCTTTGACATTTGAGACAATGATCTCTCAATATGCGATTCCTGGTATGGTAAAGTTGGTACAAAGCTCACGTGAGTTAAAGAAGCTAACCGTACACATAAAGGATGAGGGACGCATCATACCGGTATATATATTTACCATAGTCCTCTATTATTTACCTTGACCATTCTAACTATTGTCGAGTTTCAAGAATCCAAGATATTGACACTTTGTTTGCATAAATAAAAAAAAATCTTTTATGCTGTACAGGACGAGTTTCTTGACTACTACTTGAAATGTCATGGCTCCAAAACTGATAAAACCTGGACCTCGGAAGCGAGGCTCTTTAAGAACATTATCCGCGAGAATGTTGAGTCGATGCACATGGCTTCGTTCATGGAACTTGTGCTTAAAATCACAAAGACTTTAGAGAATATGGTGATAAGGTTTGGAAGTTATCTTGAAGAAAGAAGATTTGAAGAGTTGCTTGATATGGTTCCAGTGCTTTCCCATGAAAACAATAACGTCTCCATTGTGCTTGGCTCAACCACCAAATCAGATCAAACGTTTTTTGTCTCAATGAAAGTCAGATCAAATGTTTAAATGTTATAAGTTTGATTAAGGGGTGGCTATTGTTTTCTTTATCAGCTAAGCCAAGAGGTTGAATCTTGCAGTTTTTACAATACCAAGCAGAATTAAAAACACATGAAAAAGAGTATTATATTTATATACCTAACATGAACTTTGACTAAGCACATAGTCTGAAGAATTGATGATTCTCCATCCTGTAGGAGTTATCAGATACAAGGTGTCAAAGTTTGATCTGGTTCAGTTCACCAGTACAAAGTTTTTGCTAGTAAATGGTTCGTCATTCTGTTCTCCAATAGATAATATAGCAAAAGCATCAAAAAACAATCAAAGAACAAGAAATATTAGGGATAATCACCAAAAACTAGTTATGACGATGATTGATTTATTTTAATTTGACCCCACATAATTTCAAAAACTTTTAACATGACACCCGATACTTTGAAAAATAGATTATTGCTCCCCGCAAATCAAAATTACATTACAAAGTTTGAAGTTCAAAACATAACAAAGAAATAAAGACTTTCATCTTATTCATAGAAATTCCTGGATGGAAAAATTCAAAATTCTGATAATTGAAGGTGAATAATAACAAAGAAGACCAAATTAATGTTGAATAAGCTTGAAGAATTGAAGATAACTTGAAAAGGAAGTCTTTTGTTTAAAACCAAGTTATGGATAATTAGAGATAATATTAGAATATATTAGGAGTTATCTAATATGTTGTAATTTCTATTAGGGTTAGGAATTGTATCCTCCTATAAATAGAGGTCGAGTTATGACATTAGGAGATATGAGAGTTTATGAGTTGTAGAGAGAACTTGAGAAATTAAGGTTTTGGATGTATGTTTTGAGTTAGTTTCATACAATAAAAGAGAGAGTCTTTTATATTCATAACCTTGATATTGTTCTTAAAGCTTTTGGATACAAGATTTGGTATCAGAGCTAATATTGTTCACGATCACGAGGAAAAACAAAGCACGATCACGAGAAGGTGATCTGTGAAGAAACATGGAAGATTTGATCCCAGTAGGTGATAACAAGGAAGGAGGAGGCTCCTCCTCTATCAAATGTCCGATGCTAACTCCTACAAACTATACGTTCTGGACTATACGCATGACGATGGCTCTAAAGGTTCATAAAGTCTGGGACGCTATAGAACCAGGATCAACGGATGTTGACAAGAACAACATGGCTAGTGCTCTTCTTCTGCAGTCTATCCCTGAAGCACTAACACTACAAGTCGGGAAACTAAACACTGCAAAGAGGATATGGGATGCGATTAAATCTAGAAACCTAGGAGCTGATAGGGTTAAAGATGCAAGACTACAAACCCTAATGGGTGAGCTTGAGAGAATTAAGATGAAAGAAACAGAGAAGATAGATGATTTTGCAGGACGACTCTCAGAATTATCTACAAAGGCTGCATCACTTGGACATGACATTGAAGAACCAAAACTTGTTAAGAAATTCTTGAATGGTTTGCCAAGGAAAAGATATATACACATAATAGCCGCACTTGAACAAGTTCTTGACCTAAATTCAACTACTTTTGAAGATATAGTTGGTAGGTTAAAAGCCTATGAAGAAAGGATTTGTGATGAAGAAGACAATCAAGAGGACCAAGGTAAATTGTTGTATGCAAACTCTGAAACACAACCCTGGTACTCAAACAGAGGAAGAAGTCAAGGAGGCCGACGTGGTAGAGGAAGAGGACGTTCTGGTTATGTCCAAAATAATAATTACCAACACAACAATGGAAATTACAGAGATGCAAGTAAGATAACATGCTATAGGTGTGACAAGCTAGGACAATATGCCTCTGATTGCCCGGACAGGTTACTTAAACTTCAGGAGACTCAAGAAATTAAGAATATTGAAACACAAGAAGCAGACGCACTAATGATGCATGAGATTGTGTATTTGAATGAGAAGAATGTTGTTCCAAACAAATTTGAAGCAAGTTCAGATAATGAGAACGTTTGGTACTTGGATAATGGTGCTAGCAACCATATGTCAGGAATATTAGCCTATTTTTCAACAATTGATGAATCAATTACAGGCAAGGTTAGATTTGGGGATGATTCTCGGATTGATATCAAAGGAAAAGGCTCAATTACGTTTATTGCTAAGAATGGAGATCGAAGAACTCTTAATGATGTATACTACATCCCAGATTTAAAAAGCAACATTGTGAGCCTTGGTCAGGCCACTGAGTCAGGATGTGATGTTAGAATGAGAGATGATCATTTAACACTCTGTGACAGAGAAGGGAAGTTACTAGTTAAAGCTAAAAGATCGAAAAATCGGCTTTACAAAGTCATTTTAAAAGTTGATGATACTAAATGTCTACAAATTGGTATCTCAAGCATCTCATCCAAGTGGCATGCTAGACTAGGGCATATTGGAACAGAGACCATGAAGACAATGATAGAAAAGGAACTTGTGTTTGGCATTCCACATATCAAAATAGAAAAGGAAATATGCTCTTCATGTCTCCTTGGAAAGCAGGCAAGGCAGTCTTTTCCACAAGCATCATCATTCAGAGCAAAAGGTATACTTGAACTCATTCATGGGGATCTTTGTGGACCAATCACACCATCCACACCATCAAAGAACAGGTATATCTTTGTTTTAATTGATGACTATTCAAGATACATGTGGTCAGTACTTCTAAAAGAGAAAAGTGAAGCTTTCAACAAGTTCAAAATTTTCAAAACTAGCGTTGAACAAGAAACCGGAGCTGCAATAAAGACATTTCGAATTGATAGACGGGGTGAATTCTTGTCTGCTGAATTTCAAGCTTTCTGTGATGCATCTGGCATACAGAGACACCTAACCGCACCATACTCTCCTCAACAAAACGGAATCGTTGAAAGGAAGAACAGAACATTAATGGGAATGACTAGAAGCATTTTGAAGCATATGGGGGTTCCAAATTACTTATGGGGAGAAGCCATAAGACATGCTACCTATATAATCAATAGAGTTTCAACAAGAACATTGGATCATCAGACTCCATATGAAGCATTCAAGAAGAAGAAACCAAACATTGAACATATAAGAGTTTTTGGTTGCATAGGATATGCAAAAACAGAACATGTACATCTCAAGAAGCTTGATGATCGATCAAAAATGCTAGTACACTTAGGAACTGAACCAGGCTCCAAAGCCTATAGGTTACTTGATCCAGCAAAACAAAGAATTGTAGTCAGCAGAGATGTGGTTTTTGATGAAGATACAAGCTGGAAATGGAACAACTCTGAGAATAATACCAACTTTGAGATCACTTTTGGTGAATATGGGAATAATGGTATAAAAGAAAGTGCCATTAACAGTGAAACAGAGAACATTGAGGACAATGAAGAAAACAGTGAACCAGAGGGAGAACACATTTCACCAAACAAAGTCCCTGATACTCCAGAACAACCAAAACTAAGGAGGTCTGAAAGAGAAATAAAGAAGCCAAGTTACCTGCAGGACTATGTTTTACTTGCAGAATACGAATGTGAGAGACTTTTTCTTGCCATAAATGAAGAACCATGGGACTATAACGAGGCTAAAGAATCAAAAGAATGGAGGGATGCATGTACAGAAGAGATTACTTCTATAGAGAAAAACAGAACATGGGATTTAGTAGATCTTCCCATAGGAGCAAAACCAATAGGTCTAAAGTGGGTGTTCAAGATTAAGAGAAACGCTGATGGGAGAATAAATAAATACAAAGCAAGACTTGTGGCAAAAGGATACGTGCAAAAACATGGGATTGACTTCGATGAAGTCTTTGCTCCAGTGGCCCGTATAGAGACCATTCGATTCATTCTTGCTTTATCTGCTTCTAATGGGTGGGAAATACACCATCTTGACGTAAAAACAGCATTTCTCCATGGAGAATTGAAAGAAGTTGTTTATGTCTCACAGCCTGAAGGATTTGTAACAGAAGGAAGTCAAGACAAAGTATACAGATTGAACAAAGCTCTTTATGGATTAAAACAAGCTCCGAGAGCTTGGAATACAAAACTAAATACTATTCTTCTGGAATTAGGCTTTGCTAAATGTTCAAAAGAACCGTCTATATACCGAAAGAAAGAAAGAGAAGAGTTTCTGGTTGTAGCTGTCTATGTGGATGATCTACTTGTTACAGGCTCAGACTTGAAAATAATATTAGAGTTTAAAAAAGGCATGGCAAGAAACTTTGAGATGAGTGATCTAGGAAAGCTCACTTACTACTTAGGAATTGAAGTTACTCAGAGTGAGAATGGTATTCTGCTAAACCAAGAAAGATATGCAAAGAAAATCCTGGAGGAAACTGGATTTGCAGACTGCAATGCAGTTCATGTACCAATGTGTGCAAATTTAAAGATAAGTAAAGCACCAGAAGAGAAAAATATTGATGAAAAGGAGTATATAAGGAGCATTGGTTGTCTCAGATATTTACTTCATACTAGACCAGACCTCTCATACTGTGTTGGAGTTCTGAGCAGGTACATGCACAAGCCTAAGGAGTCTCATGGAGCTGCATTGAAACAAATTCTAAGGTATTTGCAGGGAACTAGATCATATGGACTTTGTTTTGGCAGAGGAAACAAAACAAAATTAATAGGATTCAGTGACAGTAGTCACAATGTTGATGAGGATGATGGAAGAAGTACTACAGGTCACATATTTTATCTCAATGACTGTCCTATAACATGGTGCTCGCAGAAGCAAGAAACTGTTGCACTCTCATCCTGTGAAGCTGAGTTTATGGCTGCTACTGAGGCTGCCAAACAAGCCATTTGGCTCCAAGAACTTTTGAATGAAGTAACTGAGGAACAATGTGATAAAGTACTGATTCTTATTGACAATAAGTCAGCTATAGCACTTACTAGGAACCCAGTTTTCCATGGCCGGAGCAAACACATCCACAAAAGATATCATTTCATTCGGGAGTGCATTCAAAATGAACTGGTTGATGTGGATCATGTTCCCGGAGAAATTCAGAAAGCTGATATACTTACAAAGGCTCTTGGGAGAATCAGATTTAAAGAAATGAGGGATCTTATTGGTGTTCAAGATGTGAGGATTAAAGACTTCAAGCTTAAGAGGGAGATTGTTGAATAAGCTTGAAGAATTGAAGATAACTTGAAAAGGAAGTCTTTTGTTTAAAACCAAGTTATGGATAATTAGAGATAATATTAGAATATATTAGGAGTTATCTAATATGTTGTAATTTCTATTAGGGTTAGGAATTGTATCCTCCTATAAATAGAGGTCGAGTTATGACATTAGGAGATATGAGAGTTTATGAGTTGTAGAGAGAACTTGAGAAATTAAGGTTTTGGATGTATGTTTTGAGTTAGTTTCATACAATAAAAGAGAGACTCTTTTATATTCATAACCTTGATATTGTTCTTAAAGCTTTTGGATACAAGAATTAAACATTGTTAAGTTCTTGGTTGGTATTCGCGGTTTTCTCAGATTCAGTATGAGCGATCGCACTTGATAAACCGATGTAACCAGATTGTTTTTCTCTTTCCGCCAATATTTTTTTTGTGGACTTATAGTAGGCACCGTACAATATTAATTGAGCCAGTCCAAATAAACATCCTATTCCATTTGGTATCTGCAAATATCATCCATTATGAAAAACAACATTAAATTACTCTCTTTTCTTCAAGAAAAAAAATTAAACAATTCAAATTTTACAACCTACACACAATACTATATACACATTTTTCTTTCAGTTTTCTTTCATGAAAATTCTTTACTCAGGTATATACATTTTTTTTCTTGTCACATAAGTTTTAAATATAGTTTTATAGGTGCAACATGAAATTTTTATGAAAGAGACAGAAAAAAACTCACAGCCATGAATGGGTCGAAAGGCATGAGAGCATAAATGGTCCAAACGCCTGCGTTTAGAAATCCAGCTACCGATAACCAAAACGGCATGAACTCCACACTTTTTGTTTTTATTACCATTTTCTTTATATTTCATGCAAGGACAAATGAAAATGGTTAATGAAATGTTGGTTCCTACCATAATTTAGTCAAAGAAAAATAAATACATGGACCAACAAAAATAGGGAAGAGATTTAAAGAGGAAACAATAACTTCTCAAAGAAGAACACAAGCTTCTAAATAAAAAAAATGAAAATGAAACGTTACGTACCATAACAGATAATGGAGAAGCGTACATCATAACGTTGAAAACGCAACATACGATTCCAACACTCATAGTACGTTTTTCGGTAGTGTGTTGGAGAGTAAATACCAAAACCGCGAGAATAGCTATGAACGCGGTTTCACCCGCTATAACAGCGGATATTACCAACCGTTGTTTTTGGCGGCCACAATAAACGAAAAATATGGTAAGGAAAACGATTTCGATCAAAATCCCCGTTCCGTTGATTGTAACGACCAATGTACTGTCCGGGTGCACCGTTGGTAGCCCGTAAAGAACCCAAACCAAACAGTTTATGAGAGTCGCTAAATACGGTATTGGTGAATATTCCTCCACTGACTTCTTTTTCACTATCCGGACAAATGTTGGCCTGATGTAATGAGACATTAATTAAAAGTATTAGTCCTTTATTATAGATAAATACTTTTTTAACTTTTCTCTTGTTTTGGAAGAAAATCTAGTACATAAATAAAATGTCTTTATTGTTATTATTAATATCATAGGAAAAAAAGATTATTCTATGAGAAAAAAAAAGTTTCAACTTTTAACATTATGATTACACAGAAAATTTAGAAAGCTTTCAGTGAGAAAGAAAAAAAAAACTCTCAGATCTTTCAAGAGGAACCCATGTGTTTAAATTCATGAAATAAGTTTGGTTTTCTTTAAGAAATTCGATTTTAGTTTTTTTGAATCTCTCTTTCATTGTTTCTGGAATATTATTTAAATCATATAGCAAAATACTTACGTTGGTGACAAGAACAGACATAGAGCGATGAAGTTTCCTGCAAACAAGATCATCCCAAGTTAAGAAGAAAAACAAAACATGATATTAAAAATAACTTGTAGATGTGAAAAATCTGGACTAACCTATTATCCCCACAATCTTCCGAAGAAGGTTTAAATGTGCAACCACCATAATTTTGAGTGTAATTGGTGATGATGAAATTTTTCAAAAAAAAAAAAAAAATGGTGGTGATGAAAAAGAAAAGAAATTAACTAATTATCGAGAAATGTGAGAAACCATTTTTTTGCTTATAATCAGAGAAGAATGTTGGTCGATTGGGTAGTGTTTATATAGAGAGAGATCATAGAGAACGCATAAGTGAGAATACAATGCATGCACCGTGTGAAAGAAAAAGTAAGTACAATTAAGTAACTCTTGTTTTTAACTTTTTAAAACTAATTTTGGAGAGGGTATTGAATTAAAAACAAACATTTATTAGACTTGTGTATAAACGAAAAATGTATTGGTATTTATTCATTTGCTTCACTTTAAAATATGTTTGAAGTATTTACATTAATTATAAAGTAAGCATCATTTAATTTGTTTGCTGTATTTAGTTAAAAATGTAAGGGAGTGTTATTGGTTTGTGATTTAGTAATTAAGTAACTCTCGTTTTAAACTTTAAAATTAATTTTGGAGGGTATTGAATATAACACACACATTTATGAGAGTTGTATATAAACTAACAAATGTCTTGGTAATTATTCATTTGTTTCAATTTTAAAGATGTTTAAAGTTTTACATGTAGATAAAGAATTAATTTGTTAGCTTTTTAGTTAAAACATTATTTATTATCTACCTAAGAAATATTCAAATAAAAATTGTCAGAAAAATAATAATAAAGTTTATTAATTTGTATTAAAAGTTGAAAATATCAAATCAAATAAAATTTTTTAAAAACATCACTTAATATAATACAAAGGGTGTATATATTTTTCTAACCAACGTAATAAAAGAGTTAGTTTGTTATTATTATAAACACTAGAGAATTAGATTTTCTCACTGCAATTTCAATGTTAGTAGATTGGCTGATGTTAACTTTTTAAATATATAAAGACCAGAGTCAAAGCTCGTTATGAATATTAAGTATTATAAAATAAAATTTAAAAAAGTATCAGTGTGTCACTAAAAATTTTATACTCCGCTAAATTACATTTGGCTTTATCTCATAATGCATTTTTATTTTTCGTGAGCTTTATTACAATGCATTTATTAGGCACATATCAAATTTAATTTTAATTTGGGGATGTCAAATCTCAAAGAATACCTTTAATATTGTGAGATTTTTCTTCTTCCTTTCTTAAAGGAAAATCTGACGTTATTCAAAATTTTTTTTTAATCTTACTAATGTAAAAGAAGAAAACATGAGTAAAATTTTTAGTCGATTTCGAAGCACTACAAAACAAGCTTTTGTTAGGTAATTTTGGTTTCGAAAATGTAATTTTTGAGACGGATTCTCAGGTTCAAATGAAGGCTATTCAAGATTCAGCTTCGGGGCTGCGACTCACCAACTATATGGCAGATATTCTATGGCCGCGAAGAAGGCATCGGAAACCTTCATAAAAAAAAAAAACTTTTGTTAGGTAATTTGATCATGTCATCAGTATTGTATATTTGTATATGATACGAAAACAATCATTTAGAAAAATAACTAGGAGGCAAACTAAATGTTGTTCTTTTTATCATGCCCATTTTTCTCCCAACCAAACCTCTAGTATACAATTCACAGTTAAAATTAAAGGTTTTGGTATAGATCATTTACCGATTGAATTACTAAGAATAATGTGGTCAAACATTTTAACTTTTGATAATTATGTTCAAATAGTTTTTACCACCAAAAATATAAGAAACTCACATTCCAGAAGGGTCGGTGAAAGAAGTATTTCTCAAGAACCTTACGTCATTAGGTTAATGTATATACTAGGAAATGTGAATGGATGTATGTCTATATCCATGTAACAAACAAAAATACATCTACATGTGTGTGGATGTGTATGAAATTGTATATGATCTCTGTTTATTTCCTTGCAAGAAACCACAAGACATCTATATTTATATACGTAACTAAATTTGATAGAAGAGACCTCTTAGAATGATGTAAAATGACATCTACCAACACACATTTAAACGTTCAGGGCATTTATTCATCTATATACAGCATGATACAAACAGAAATTTCCAAAGGAGAGTAAGTAATAATGTTTTCTTCTCTAGTTTTAGTAAACAATAATTACAAAGCTTTCAACCTATAATATTATTTAGAGTCAGGATTAGAGTAGGTTTGAGGCCTTTTGCGAATTAACACGAAATCTTTTCAAAAGAGAACATTGTGAAACATCCTTCAACTTTTTCTTAAGTAAGAAACAAAATCAAGCTAGCATGGCGTAAATTAAATCTATAACTAAGAAAATTATAAGAAAATTTTGCAAGATAAATTTTGTGTCAAACAAAAAGGTAACAACGATAACATTATGTCAATCCGTTTTGAGTAGAAACGCGTCCTGTGAGTAGGAATATATGAGTGGTGTTTTGTGAGGATTGTTCGATGCTTAAATGATGAGTATTTTAACCATAAGATCGGAAACTAGAATGAACCAAAAAATAGAAGAAAGATAACAAGTCCTTGTTAGTCATTTTTCAGCTGCACTCCAGTCAAAAGATTTTTTCTGACAAATCAAACTCCAACCTTCACAAATGTCGTTGGTGCCGGCGGTGTTAAATTTTGTATACACAAAGTCTTTTTTAACAGATTTTTGTAGGTTGGAGTTTGATTTGTTTGATTTAATCTAAACTAGTTTTTGCAGTTTGTAGAAAAATTGTATATTTTTGTCACTAAAGACATTTTTAGTTGCCAACCAAATTAAGGAAACTCAATTCATAATCACTAGATTACAATAGAATTGGTTGTCACATATTTCTACCGTATAATTTATGAATTATGTAAGAAATAAAATTGATAGTCATAAATTTCTTATGAAGCCTCTCTGTTTTTGATGTACGTTGGTTTTTGTCTGGACCGTCGTAATCCGAATATCATATCAAGTTTCGACTGCATTTGTCATACAAGTCACATAGTAGCTGAAACAAAAATCAAATTTGTACAAGTAAATAGGAGAAGACTTGCAAGTATCCTACTTTATAAATTACACAAGTTAGAAAAACATTTATGAAAAAAAAAAGTGATTGAATTAAAGAAATTCTCAACCTCAGAACTTGAAACCAAGGCTGGGCCATTTCTTAACAGAATACTCTTTCTTGGGAGGTCTTGCGTTAGGATCAATCAGATTCTGGAGCGACTTGGCTTTGTAGTTCGGCGACGGCCCAGTTTCCTTCAAAAGCTCGGCCAGACGCTTCTTTTCGTCCTCAAAATCCGGATTCGCTCCCGAGCTTTTCCTCTCTCAGCTTCAGATCCTGCTCTAATATCTCAACTCCTCTATCCTGTAAATTACAAATAGCCATCACAAAAAAAGTCTTTAATGTTTTGGCCTAGTAGTTTTCATTAAGGATGTCTAAACTAGTTTAACCAATCCAAACTAAACCGAAACCATACCCAAAAATCTGTACTCAACTGTGGTATCTTTATCATTCGTGTCCAAGTTTTCTCATGAAAGTTGTAAACAACAATTATGATTTTGAAAACTAATAAAGTATAAAAAAAAAGGACATTTTTAGTTCTCAACTTAAAATAAGTATCATTTAACCATTTCATTACCATAAATTAGTTCTTTCCCATACTACTACTACCATTGAATTTTATGAAATTCTTTTTGATAGCTATAATTTTCTTATATCTCTGTTTTTTTAGGATCAAATTCTCAGGGGCTCTCCAAGCTCAATATTTTTTCTCAAATGCTCCTCTTCTAAAAAGAAATTTCTTTTTGATTTATTTTAAATCGAAATATGAGACAAAGACTTTGTAACCCTTAAAAACTTCATCTATTTACGACCCAACCAGTCTAATCGGATCATCAATTATCCGAACTCACACTTATTGGGTCATATCCAATTAAAATCTTTTTTTTTTTCTTTAGGGTTCGTTCAACCTTTGAAAGAAATCATTTGACACTTAACAGTTTTTTTTTTTTTTCTACTTCTTCGACGTCAAACTTGGTATAACTACAGACAACTACGTCTTTGTGTAAGTTAAAATCAAGTTTTCATTTTGGGTTTTGTATAAAAACGATTGAAATTAGGGATACCATAATTAATCGTTAGTCGATTTGTTTGTGTAGAATCTGAAGTGATGGAATGGAAGTGCTAATAGAATCGTTTGAATGGATGTGTTAATCTGATCGATAAAATAGAAGTGATAATCTAATCGATTGATTTTGTTTGTACGTTTGTGCAAGAGAGTAGTGGCTCGAACAAAAAACCCAACTGTATCGAATCCTATAGAACCAGAGAAAATCATGGAATAAGAATATGGCATAAGTGGATTATGAAGCAACAAATTCAATTTCTCGCAGGGATTCAACAGTATAATCTATACACTTTAGACAACTAATAGAACTTGGTATAACTATATTTTTTTGTAACTTATATAGAAATTTGGCATAACTACGTCAGTTTGTTAAACTTAGTACAACTTGGTTAATATAGTTATTTGAAATTTTTGTATAACTAGGTAAAACTTGGTACGTAGTTGTTCTACCCAGATTTTGTTCTCTCTCATCCTTTTTCTCTTTCTATAGTAGAAAATAAAAAAATTGAAAATTTTCAAAATTTTAAAACCGTAAAAAACGTGGGTCAAACTGCTCTCGGTCAAACTACGCCGTCATAAATTGCAAGTGGGCGCCGTAAAACAAGTACATCTGCCAGGTGGCACTGCAAAAATGAACATAGTTATTCCTAGTTTTCAAGTTGTACTCGCATATACACAGTTGTACTTTTTGAGATTTTTTGAATAATTAGTTATACTTGGATTGAAACTAAATTTTTTTAGTTATACCCATGATTTTAGTTATTTGAGGTACATTTCCTATGTTTTCATGCAAAAATATCTGTCAAAACGTTATTTTTGTGTGTTTTGCAATGCAATGGGGATAACAATAACAAAGTCATCTTAAAAGTATAAGGTCTTTCTTATACAAAAATGAGTTTAATGAAAACTATCTTATAAATTTTGTTAAACTAATGTTATTTAAGAAGATTTGTTAAATTTCTAAAGTGCATATGAGGATTTTATAAATGGTCTAACTAATTTATTAAACAATTTGTACAAAAATGAGTTTAATGGAAACTATCCTATAAATTTTGTTTAACTAATGTTATTTAAGAAGATTTGTTAAACATTGGTTAAATTTCTAAAGTGCATATGAAGATTTTATAAATTATC